CTTTAAGGAGGTGGTTCGTTTACATGGGGTGCCACAGTCCATTACCTCAGATCGTGACACCAAATTTTTGTCTCACTTTTGGGGACTTTATGGAAGAGATTCGATACCTTTCTTAATTTCAATAGCACCAGTCACCCCAAGACTGATGGCTAAACAGAGGTGGTGAATAGGACCCTTGGAAATCTAATTCGCTGTATTTCAAGAGAGAAACCAAAATAGTGGGATCTTGCTCTTGCCCAGGCAGAATTTGCTTACAATTGCATAGTTAACAGGTCTACTGGAAAATCCCCGTTTGCGATTGTGTATTGCTGTCCTCCAAAAGTTGCTTTGGATTAAGTATCCTTACCGAAGTTACCAGGGAAGAGTGTTGCTGTAGAGAAAATGGCTGGGCACATTAAGACCATTCAGGAGAGTGTTAAGAAATATCTAGAGGAAACTTACGCCAAATATAAGGCTGCAGTTGACAAGAGACGAAGAAAAAGAGTATTTGAAGAAGGGGACCTGGTTATGGTGTATCTAAGAAAAGAGAGGATTCCAGTGGGCACATACAACAAGCTGAAGGCCAAGAAATATGGTTCATACCAGATTCTAAAGAAAATCAATGACAACACCTATGTGGTTGATTTACCTACAGACAAGGCCATTTCTTCTACATTCAATGTGGCTGACATACATGAATATTGTCCGCCAGATTCGGGTAACTTGGGGACAAGTTATTTTTACGCAGGGGAGACTGTTATGGAATAGCTTGCTCACGATTATCTGAGCATACAAGATCATCGCAAATTAGGGAGGCTGAAAAGGTAAGGAGAATAGAAGAAAAAAATAAATAAATAAGGAAAAGTCAAAAGGAGATTTGGTGTGGTTGCCAACGATAGAAGATAGGCAGGAGGCAGTTGGCATAGGTAGTGACGATCTAATATGGATTCCCTCTTCCCATGGTCGTTTCGTAGTGCGATCTTTGTTCTTATGTCTATCTAATTTTGTTAGTCTTGACTTCCTGTGGAAGACCATTTGGCGATTGGCGTTCTATGGCTCCAACTAGGGTGGCATTCTTTGTTTGGACTGTTACTGACGATTGATAATTTGAGGAAGCGGGGTAACTGTTTTGTTAATTGGTGTTGTCTATGCAAACAAGATGGTGAGTCAGTTGATCATATCCTAATGCATTGTCCTGTGGCGTACGATTGTTGGAATCTTATTCTTGGGTTGTTTGGTATGCGTTGGGTAATGCTACATTTTTCTAAGGATTTGATTCAAGCTTGGAGAGGATGTCGTGTGAGTAGAGGTGTACGCGATTATTGGAGAATTGTTCCATATTGCGTTTGGTGGTGCATCTGGAAGGAGAGGAATAGTAGAATGTTCGAAGGAAAGGAGGCGTCCACGGCGACGCTAAAACTCCATATTATTCACTCTCTTTTCAGTTACGTGAAGAGGATCTCTTGTTCCTCTTCCGATGATTTAATTATTTTTTTGGATTCTTTGGGGCCTTAGTCCCCGGTTCCACTTTTGTATAAGGGACGCGTTCCCCTTTTGAATGTCTTTTTATTTCATTATTACTTATCAAAGAAAAAGAAGTAGGATTCAGAAAATAAATAAGAAGATTTGGTGTAGTTGCCAACAATAGAAGATATTATTCTCCATTGCAAGATTTAAGGAGGATTTTGCTCTATCAAATCCAGATTTCTCCTTTAATATTATTTCACGCCTGCTTTCTTTTTTTGACTTGCCTATATAAAGGCAAGAGATGTAAGTCTACAGACATCATAATTATCAATATAATTTCAGTTTCTCTCTTGTGAGTGTGTTCTTTGTGAATTCAAGGGTTTAACCCTGTTCTTTATCGTTTCCGCTACGTTAACCATACGGTGGAAGTTTTCTCCATATAGTGTCAAATGTTTACTACCTACTTGAGGTCAGAGAAGATCTTAAAAAAGCCCTTTGTAAAAGGAAATTTTCATTTTTTGGGTAATAGTCTAAGTGGAAGACTTTTAGAGCATATTGTAAATTTGGACTTTGCTTAAGAGGAAAGATGGTCATGGAATTCTTATATATCATCATCTTTAATGTGACCCTTCCAAAATCATATCAAAGATCTGGTTGGGATCAATGCTTGTAATCATTCTTTAAATTTTCACAGTTGTGAAATGTAAATCATGCTGTGAGCATGAAAGCCTTTAGTCAACTCTGTACTTGTTGGACTAAAAATGCACAGTGATTTTTTAACGACCCAAACCCTGGGATCCGGATCGCTAATCGGGTCCTTACCCGAACCTGAGGTCACACAAGGGTACTATGGTCATTTCACGTCATTATAATAGTTCTAGAGTGCATAAGGGTATAATGGTCATTTACTGTGGTAAAATAATGGTTTAGGGCCCATAAGGGTAAAATAGTCATCTGGTACATTTATTATGGCTTCAAAACTCATCAGGGATAAAACTGTCATTTTCATATTAATTGGGTACCTAAGGCCCCAATAAGGGCAAACTGGTCATTTTGTAAAATTATTGAGGTTCTAGGGATCATGAAGGTATTTAAGTCATTTAGCATGGTCAATCCTAGTTGGAGACCCAAAAAGGGTCAAATAGTCAATTACCAAGGTCATTCAATGGTTAGGGTGAAGTCAAGGGGTAATTAGGTGATTTTACTGAAATATAGGGTCAAGGTGCAAATATCAGTTCATCTAACCGTGTAGAAGATATCATCTAACCGGGTAGATGAATGGTCCAGTAGGCGTGAAAAACTGAGTAGCCTATATAACCGGTTAGATGGAGGCATCTAACTGGATAGAAGGCCATCTAACCGGGTAGATAACTCTATCTAATCGGATAAATCCATCTAACCCCCTCTTTGCCCATTCATCTAACTGGGTAGATGAGAGCACCTACCCGGGTAGATGGCCATCTAACCAGTTAGATATTTCCATCTAACCTGTTAGATGGGAGAAGCCCATTAAATCCAAGCACTGCCCATTTATCTAACTGGGTAGATATTCCTATCTAACCGGTTAGATGATGCCCAATGATGAATTGGTCGAAAAGTTTGCTTCCCAAACCTATCCAAATGCAACCCCAAAGCAATTAAACATGAAAATAAAGCTCCATGGATATCATCAACCTTTAAACATTTCATTGAATCATCAAAATAACTCATACATCTTTTGTGAATCAAAAGCATCTTAAATCATTTATACATACCCAAAAGAATAAGTTTACAAAATAATGAGGCCTCCATGGCCATAATTACAAAGGCTTCACTTAAAACTCACAAAAGAACAAGGTTATGTACATTTGTTCATTGTCTAAGCAATTCTATTACAAAAGATATCAAAATACATCGACGACTCTTTAAGTTTGCGGGGGTGCATCTTCTACAATTTTCTTGCCATGTCCTGAAAATGATAAATAGAGGGTGAGCACAACGGATCAGTAGGAAATGCCTAAAACATTGGCTTTGGGTTCCCTTGAGTCAACAACCAATGAATGGATAAAAGTAATTGGGATCATACACGGGTCTTAATCAACACACATATATCAACATGCAATGAAATGTTATGCTGCCCCGACCATAATCCCGGCCCAACTCAACACACACTGAAAACCCGCTAACCGACTTTACCGAGGCGAGATTGATTACTATCCTGGCCTCAAATCCGACAACCATTTGGGCCCTAGTAAATCAATGTTACGCGTCCAAATCCGGCACGCGCTCCCTCTAGGTCGAATTAGCACTAGACTCGCGATATCCGGTTTCTTTCACAAAACCATTTTCTCACAACCATTCCCAAACACATCCTTTAAAATCACTTCGACCTCATTTTCCCCAAACCATGCTCATGCCATGAATGAAATCATGCATTATTCAAGAGTAACTAAACATGATTTATACTTTCTTAACTAAAATAAGCATGCTTTGCATCAATGGAATCACATCATCATATTGTATCAAATAATCTCGAAGTAGCAACTTGCACATATAGCATGCTTTTAACAATTATAGCATTTCAAAAATACACCTAACTATGTCTATAAGCATGACATTTTCATCAAGAACACATACATCATCTCTACTTCTATCAATCATCATTTTGGAACAAATATTTGTATAAATCAAGAGGGAAACTCAAATAGAGGCAAAACATAATACTTTAAACATCTCTACCTCAAATGATGCAGCTCAAACTCTTAGATTCAAAACTCGAAATTCCCCAAATGGTAGCGAGACCGTTGTCAAAACATAGCTCTTGACTAGCTTTACAACATTTCCAACTATGGCTTGGTCCAAATCCTACTCTAGCATACAAGATCTTAGAGAGAAGATAAAGTTATTGAGAGAAAAAGAAAAAGAAGTAAGAGAGATATTTCCGAGAGAGAGTGAAGGGGGTGAGGTTGTGGTCCTAGCTTGACCATAGTTTCTTCCAAAAATGAATGGCCTACAACGGGTCAAAGTCCACTACATCATCAAATGTCAAAAATGCCCTTCAAAGCTCACTTAATCACTTGCCATGCCACAAAATATCTCTCCACCCACAAGTCACATAATTATACATGTATATACATATATATAACACATCATCACACAAATAAATAAATACATGCAATGGAAAACAATACCAGGACTCACACGGCGCGCAAAACGATGTACAGAAAAATAAATATCGAAAAATCCAGGACATTACAGATTTGGACCCTTGGTGACGGATCATGGGTGTAAAACAATTTAACCTTGTATTGACCTCACTATTTTGCATTGGTTATACGAACCATGTTTTGTCACACAATTTTGGTCATGTTTTTCCATAGCACTTTTCAATTTTGGTGTTCCACTCGCTTTAGTAACAAAGCGTGAACTTGCACTCTCTCAGACACTTTTAATTGTCTTTACTGAATTCTGGACTACTATGTGTAGTGTAATTATCTAAACCATTGTTATTGTAGTCTTGTGCTATATATGGTTCTGTAGACATTAAATAGTCTTTTGAAGTTTACGTTTATCAGGGAACAACCTGGAATCTGCATTGCTGGATGAAATACAAGAGCAGGAAAATGTACTTCAGCAATGTGTTACGCAAATTGAAAGTTCTGAAGCAATTAGGGCCTCCTTGGTTTCCCAGCTTAGAGAAGCACTTCAGGATCAAGTAAAACATTGTTACAATTTTCTGTTCTCAAGCTTTCGTTGTATTTCAATGTTATATATCTTTGATGACTGCTTACTAAATTATAGTTTTTCAGGAATCAAAACTGGAGTTTATACGCACTCAGTTGCAAGTAAGAATCATTTCTCCCTTCCATTTATTTTTTATTTTATTATTTTTTTCATGAGTCAAGTTATTTTTATTAAAGATAGTTGTTTGTTGGTTGGTAGTTTTATGCTTCCATTTCAAATCACATTGTGGAGGAGATCATATCAGAAACAGTCAGACAGGATTTTGACACATTATTAATTAGTTTACAAATGGACACAGGAAGTAGAGAATTGAAATTGTTGGTGGTCTCTTGCTATATCAACATGCCCAAAAAAACAATATAGTTGGACCCTCCACTTTGATAGCTCCAAATGGTAACTTAGTACTAGAAGTCAATCAAATTAGATGACCTCTAACAGTATGATTTCCATGGTTTTTGTTGTAGAGTGCTTAAATCAGCCACAAATTAGATCAACGCCATTTCCATCTGCCACTATTATTTACAGTGACCAACCCACATCACCTCCCTCTCCCTATTATTCGAATCACCCCAACTAGAACAACTGGACAAAGCACGATTCATTCAACTCCCTCTCTCTCTCTCTCAGATTCACTGTAACTATTCGTGGAACGACTACCATCATTATTAGTCTCACAAAATCATCCACCATCGAGCGTGGATACCACATAATCTTGACCTTTATCATATATGTATTCTAATACATTGTAAATATTAGTTGTTTACCAGGGAACTGAGGTTTTTTTCTCAATAATTGTTGGTTGCTATAGATTATTTATTTATTAAATAGCCGTCATCATAAGATTGGCCAGGAATATAGGAAGCTTGGTAGAAATGTCTTGCTTGTAGGAGTATCTTCTCTGTAAGTGAAACTAAGGCTTTGGTATTACAATCAAGAAGTTATTTTGCTCCAAATATAACTGTCTCTGGTGGTTTTAGGTTGTTTACTTGTTCTAGTTCCGGGTCATATTTGTTGGGCATCATATAAGGCCTTTTTTGAAGTTCGTGTTACCAGTTATTGTTGATATAATAGCAGTGAACTAGTTCGTTTTTTTTTTTTTTTTTTTTTTTCGGCTTTTCTTCATAGGTCTCTAGCAAGTGGTGAGTTTAGTTTGATTATGTTATATGGTAAAAGGGGTTGCAAACAACTCTATTGGAGTTAGTAGATGTAAGAGCCATTTCCAAACTCTTCTTAGTTTAATTAAATATTTTATTCATTATTAATCTAAGAAAAAGAGGATATTATATCCATCTGTAGCAGATAAAATAAATAGAAAACAATTTGAAGTGTTTTTCTTGCTTTGACTTGTTGAAGATAAACTCCGCAGTTTAATATTCAAGTGAAGGGAAATATAATAAATTCTAGAATTGTAGTAATTTGGTGTATATGAAGATTAAAAGAATCTATACAGGTATCTATTTTTTTTTTCTTTCTTTCACACAGATATCTAATTGAGAAGTTGTAGCTTTAGTGCTTTGTTTATGATACTTAAATCTTTACTATTTTATTGTTCCTCTTCTCTCTTTTCTCTTCTGCTTGTTAATTAGCTTCCTTCTTATCTTGATACTAGTTTCTTTTCAATGAAACTACTGCTCGTCTTTATAGTCAACCACACTTGAAACCACTAAACATTCCTTATAAAAGTTTAACTCTGTTCCCGGTAACATGTGTAATTGCAACATATCATATTTATTGACATGGATAGAGTTGTTAAACCAGAACTTGGCGATCCTTATGCAGAAAAGAATACAGGATGTTTTTCTTGATTGGTGATGGAACGTAGGAAGTTCCTCTAGGTGATACCATATGACAGATGTGTGGAAACTTGTCTTTGCATCTTTTAAATTGAATGCGCCAAGAGTTCGGTAGATAATCCCAACCATCAATTTGCTGTCATTGTATTCGGGGTAACATGAATATTCTTATGACTGCTAATTTGTTTGAGCTATTTACAAACAATAAATTCACTTGCAATTTACGATATTGGTGCAAGGGAATGTATGTTGAAGACTAGTTTTATAGCTTGTACAAGATTGTTTACTTTCCATGAAATGAAGATGAGAAGATCTTTATATATTGGTAATAATTGGATTCATTGAGATTTTCTCTTCTGGTTTCCTGCAAATCAACTTTATGCAGTAGCAAATGCAATTCAAGTGACATACCTGATGGAAAATGAGTTTAAGGAAGAAGGCTTCTGCTATAGATTTAAGCCTTCAATGAGAAACACAACGTGAACTGTAAAAAGATTTTATGGATGCAAGTTGAAGTCAGTTAGTTGGCAAGCCACAATGAAGTTCCTATCTGTCTAACTGCCATCTCGTTAAAAAGCTTTTTTCATCTCAAAAGTACCATTTCTATTTTTAAGATGATGTGCTTGGTCATCTATCCTTCTGAGGCGATACCAAGTAAATTTTTACGGTTGAAACTGACTCCCCAAGGAGACTAAGGTATCTTGTCCCAGTGTTCTTTTCTTCTTAAGAGTAGTAATCCTATATCTTAAGATGAGATGCTTGGTCTACTAACTTTCTAATGCATTACCAAGCAATTAAAATAGTTGAAACTGAAAGCATTAAGAATCAGGGTAGCAGAACTTAAAGAAGATATTGTGATCCTTTAGGTGCTAATTTTGAATTTAAGCTTTAATGGTCTAGAATTTGAACACTTAATAGGCATTCCTCTTTCTGCAACTACTAAGTTTTTAAGAATGGCGATGAGCTTTATCATCTAGGAGAGAAATTTTTAAATCAGGATCAGTTATGAGGATAAGTATGTATATTCGTGCTAGAGAATGGAATGGCTGCAGAGTGCAGAGAAATTGGGATTGAAGGTTGAGCCACAACTTATGATTAATTTTTAAGAGTTTGTGTTAAGTAACTCCATGACTATAATTATTGTTAATTGTTAGAGAAATGAAGTTATTTTCTTCTTCTAATAATGATGATGAGTCATATACTGCTGCTGTTGCTGATTCTGTTGGCTTACATTTCAATTTTTCTTGGTGAAGTTATTATTTTCTTCACCATATATGAGAGATGAATCCAGGGTTTAAGGAAATAAGTGAGCGGAGAGTCAAGTAATGCTTTCATTGAGTTGTTTGATGGATTGATGAAGTTGAAAAAAGGCAAATATGAAGCTTCGTGAGAAGTTTAAAGACTGTTGAGACTGAGAGATGACTTCAAGCATAAACTTTTCAGAAAGTTGGCTCTTCTTAATCAACTTCGTAGCTCATAGAGGGAAGAATGAATTCGATAAGAAGGTGAAAGTTATTGAAATTGAGTTTCATCAGTGCATAATTCAAAAAGTCTATTCTTGATAAAATTGAAAATTTAGATATTGTGTCAAGTTGCAAGCAAGAGAGACCCATCAGAATTTAAATGGAGGGACTGAGTTATATTATTTTCTTATTATTGGAAAGACACTTGGAGGATAGGACTGGTTTAAGATTTGTGGGTTCAACTATTATTCCTTCTTCCTTTATAAACTTTTCAGAAAATTGGTCCTTTCTAATCAACTAATAAAATTATGTGATTGTAATATAGTTTGTAACTTATTTATCGTATGATTATAAGTTACAACTTATTATATGCAACAAGTAAAATTATGTAATTATAATATGAAAGTTGTAACTTATTTATTGTATGGATATAGTGGCTTGTTGCATAGGGAGAAAAATATCTATACGTTCCTTTATGTATTTATGTAGATAGGCATATTTTATGGATATTCACCTAAGTTAATGACTCTTCTCCTACTAACATTCCCACTCTCTCGTCTTTTGTTTTCTTAAAATTGTCTAACTTTTTATATGTTTTTGTTTTAAAACCTTTAATTTGTCTTACAATTATAGTGTGCTTCCATGTTAAAACAAAATCTTATCCAATATTCAAGACTGACTAGTCGGTTGGCACATATTAACACATCTTCAAGAGGTGTTGTCCATGTGCTGAGATTAAGAATTATACTTTTAAATGTGAATATGTCATAGAAGTGTCGAAAGCATGTCCTAAAGTGTTCAAGGCTGGTGTCTGTGCTTAAGAAGAATTCCTCATGGAGTGAATCCTTAGGAAACCTAGAAGTGTGAACCTTGCACTTCAGGACTTCGGGCTTGTAGGCTTGGGTTCTTTCCAATTTTACTCTAATCCGGACTCTATGACTCTTGTTTTTGTAGATTAGGACTTTCATTTTGAGTTATTTATTTTTCTTTAGTTTCATGTGTTTTCATCTTGGTGTTTCATGCGTACTTCTCATTGATGTAACTGTTTTCTAAATCATGTTGGATCTTAGGAGATTTTTGAGACATTATGATTTGAGATTTTATTATTAAAATTTTTATTTTTTATTTTTGGAAGTTAGAGCAAACACACGCACCCATATCCACATGTCCCTAGTGGACTTGAACCCGCAACCTCCCCATTTGGGGAAGAGAGGTTATACCATTGGGCTAAAAGCCCTTTGGTCATTAAAATTGTTTTTGTATATAAGCTTGCTTGCTTACTTGGTTGTGGATAATTCATCAAGGACAATTTGATATTTACATTGTGCCCAACTATTACTAGTTTGGTCTAAATCTTTAATGATTAATGTTAATATTATTTCAGTATTTGAGATAGTTGTACATGAGCAAAAAGATCAACTATCAAAAGTTAACTTGACATCTTTCATTTCTTCCATTTTGCATCTTTCGTAAACCTTCTCTCTTTTATCTTTAGATAATGAGACATTGTGCATGTGTTGTCTGAACAATCTATTGGAGATGTTAGCGAATTGTTGTGTCGGACCCTTGTGTATGTGTGAGATCACCCTTATCCTTGATCATATTAATTGACACGGTTATTTTTGATGTCTTATCATGGCCTTCTCATTTAAGGTACAACAATTATGCTTGTATTGTTTATGTGATGATACATTTTGTTGGGTGAACTGTGACATTGTTAATGGATGTGCCAGGTTGCTCGGGGTCAGATTGAGCAAGCAAGCAAAATGAAACAGAGGCTCACATCAACCCCTCTTGGCCACCTGACCAACAATGTCCACCCACCAATGGAAGCCACGAGGGTGGTTGAACCCAATCTGCCTTCAATTCAAACACGCAGCACCACTCCTCCGCCACAACTGGGCCAACCTGTGGTATCTTTTACGACTTCGAAACCTACTGAAGAAGAGAACAAGAAGGCGGCAGCAGCAGCGGTTGCAGCTAAACTTGCTGCTTCTACATCCTCTGCGCAGATGCTTACTTCTGTTCTCTCATCCCTCGTTGCAGAAGAGGCTGCCTCCATGAGTGGTGGCTCAAAATCAGCTGGTTTTGCCACTAGTTTACCAATGTTCTCTCCAGAAAAACGACCCAAACTAGAGAAACCAGCTTCTTGTTCTGATATGACCAATACAGCTTATTTTGGTTCTCTACATCAGCAACCCACAAGTATGCAACCGATCTCCCAGGCCAACCAGCTACAAACTCCATTTCCACCGCTGCCACCACCTCCACCATCTATGCCTCCCACAAATTCCCCAGCAAATCAATTTGTTCAATCTGCTGGTCTGACCAGTGGGGTTCTGGCTTATGGATATAGCACTAGCAGTCTGCCACCTCCTCCTCCTCTGCCTTCACATATTGCAATGGGATTAGCAAGGCCAGCTCCTCAGCAACCTCAACTGCAACCACCGCAGCAGCAATCTCCGCAATCGCAGCCACAGCAGCCTGCCAATGGAGGAGGGTATTATAGGCCTCCAGGTATCGGATTCTATGGACAGAGCAATCAGCCAACGCCACCGCCTGTACCTCGCCAGTGAGATCCTCTTGGAAGTATTGAGGATAGAGGACGAAATGCGTCATTTTGTACATCAATAGGATTGTTAAATACAATAGGAACCTTTTCGTTCATCTGTAATCTGTACTTTTACTGTACTTTGGTGGACATCTCCCATTCCCATCCCCTTACCTGGTGCTTAGCAAATGTTAACGAAGTTATCTATCTGAGAGAACCAAATCTTAACTTAAATGTACAAGTACCATTTTGTAGAAATACTCCCTCTGTGTGCCAGGTGAATACTGTGTTACAGGAACCTCGTTAGAAATTCCCTCAATGTGCGCGCGCGTTCGAAACATACATGCAACGTTGTAGCTGTGTTTCAGGTACTCGAATTTTTTCTTGGCTGGAAATCTTATTATACCATCTGAGATGTAGCCATAGAGAAACCATCTTTTATGAACTCACGTATTACATATATTGTATTGTTCATTTACATTGAAGGTCCGTATATTTCGACACGTAAAATATTTTCCTCAAAAAATGTTTTACTTTTTTCAGGTAAAATTTTTTTATTTAATTTTATTTTCTGTATTTGACAGAGGCCTAGGTCGAGGTTAAGGTCGAGTCCATCACGCAGGATGTGTAGAATAATTTGTCAAAGATTGATGGTTAAGTTATTTTGTTAGGTTTTAATATTTTTTTCTCTGTAAATATTTTATGACAATCAAATACCAGAAAAAAATATATATTTTTATATTTTATGACAACCAAATACCAGAAAAAAAATATTTATTTTTTGAAAATATTTTACATCAATGTGAAAAGATGCACTTTAAATATAACGGTAATATATCATTCAAATAATTAACTCAAATAATTAACATCACGCGATTATTAAGGTTTTGACTTGAAAATTGTCAACAGCTAAGGTTAAAATATTTTTCATATAAATTTTTTTATATGTAAAATATATATGTATTTTTTTTAGCGTTTGACAAAGATCCTGAAAATATTTTTTGGTGTTTGGCATTTGAAAATGTTTACAAGTTAAAATCAATTTTTTTATGAAAATCAAATTTGCCCTTAATTTGTCAAGTAACTGATTATCCAATCTCTCTCTCACTTATTTATTAGTCTAAGTATTTCTAATCCAACAATATCATCATATGGTATATATAAAAACACCCACTTTTAACATCTATTATTTCTAATAAAATTACCAACTAAGTGTTGATATTCAGTTGACAAGAAAATTTCAATAAATAATTAAAAACAATTTTGTGTATTTCAAAAAAAATATATATATTTCATTTTTAAAAATTAATTTTTACATTCTTATCCTTATAGATATAAATGAATCATAATATCAGTGATTCATATTAACTCAATAAAATCAAACTATACACACGACCGAACACAAATAAAAAATCTACAACAATTCATAGCTAAGCAAATAATTATAAATTTGGAAAAAAGTTGACAACCAAATACTAAAAAATGGTAAAAATATTTTATTTTCAAACAAGTTTTATTCAGATTGTGTTTGATGTCTGGCATTAATATAGCTAGTATTAATATTCATGTATCAAAATGTCACATGCTACCACTAAAATTTTTGATACAATAACGACATTGTGTTTTAATTTCTTCTTTATCTGTCATACAATTACATTTCTAACGTACTAAAACCACTCCAATCATGATGAAACTTCAATAGAGAGCATAGAAGGACTAGGAAGAGAAGGAAAACAAAGTGACTGACTGACATTGAAGTCAATAGGTCACCTTTTTTTTGTCATTGTTTGGTTAGTTTAATATTTTGGCATTGACAAAAAAATAGACCTATCAACTGTGAGTCAATGGTGGGGAAGCCAATTAATTTAGTACAAAAATTTGTGTTAATTTTTTTTTTTTTTCAAAAAATCGAGTAATGATACAGGTGTTCCGGGTGTAAAAGTGATTCAAGTTTCGAACTTGCCGGATTAAGGATTAGGTCGGCATTTGATACCAACTATAACAGGTTGGGTAATTCGAGATCTGACTAAAAAACTTAAACTATTAGATGGAACTAATATTCAAACCATACATACCAATTTACTTCCTCATCGGGATCTAAAGTGGGACAAGTCATTCTTATAACAATTAACTACCATGATATAGACAAATAGACCCATTTTGATGAAGTTTAGTGATTAGGGTTTATGAACAGAATCTTAGAGAAAGAGAATGGTAAATTTTAAAAGAGAAAAAATGATTGATGAGAAGGAAAATTCAGACAAATCGTAGTGAGAAAAAGTGAAGAAAATTTTCAGTGAGAGATGAGGGTAAATTTTAAGATAGAAAAAAAGTTACGAGAATTTGAGATAGAGATGGAAAAAAGAGAATTTAGACCCAAATATTAGAGAGAGTGTGAAGAGAATGTCAGTTAAAAAGAGATGCTGGGTGCGCTAGGCATGATATATCAACCAATCAAAATGCCCTATTAAAATTGATTGAGAACAGTTTTTACGAGTATGTGAGACCAACCAACTTGAATAATACACCTAAATTGGTTGAGCATACTAATGACATGGTATACTTGGCACACTCAGTATTTGTTCAAGAGACGTGTTAAGTGAGATAGATGAGTAGAGAAAAAAAAAAAAAAAAAAAAAAAAAAAAAGGTATACAGGAAAAAAAAAAAAAAATTGAAGAGCATGAAAGGAATATAATGCTGAACTTCAAAGGAATATTTGTCATTTTCATAATCATTTTTTTTTTGAAAAGCTTTAAGTAGATGACATGGCCAAACCACGTCATGTTCTATGTCCAGTTGGGAAATATGTTCCGTGTCTCTATGTAGAGCTGCAAGTTGGGCTGACCCAACCCAGCCCAGTCCCAACCTCAACCCGAATTGGGTTGGATTGGGCGAACTCGAATTGTACCTAACATGGGTTATAGTAAAAATTCAGTCCGAATATTTTCGGACCGGTCGGGTCGGGTTGACGGGTTGAGTTTTTAAAATTTATTTATATATATTTTTTTCGAAAATATATATATTATATAGATATATATACAGATATATCTATATATTATTAAAAAAAAAAAAAAGAAGTTCAAAACCCATATATTTCAGATCATTTCAGGTTGTTCAAAAAATCAAAACCCATATGTTTCAGTTTCCATCACCGGCTGTTCCAGTTCGGGTTCGCTGTTCGCAAGCTTCAGCCGCTGTCTCTCAACTCTCAAGCTTGCCCCCCTCTCTCTCTGCAACTGCTAACTTGTATGTATGGGTTTTGTTTTAATTTTTGGAAGTGACGGCGGCGGCGGTAGATCGGCTGAGGGACGGCGGCAGAGAGAGAGAGAGAGAGAAAAAAAAAAAAAAATTCGGGCAGAAAGAGAAAGAGAAAGAAGAGAGAGGAGAGAGAAAAAAAATTTGGGGAAGGAGTGAGAAAAGAGAAAGAAGAGAGAGAGAGAGGAGAGAGAAGAGAGAAGAAAAAAAAATTGGGTTTTGAGTTGGGCCCGAGCCCAACCCGAATTGTCTGGGTTTTGATTAAATCCAACCTGAACATGAACCCGATTTGTAAATTGTGTGTCTAAATTTTAAAATTTTTGAGTTGGGGTTGGGCTGGGCTGGGCTAGCCCGCCCAATTTGCAGCCCTATCTCTGTGTTATAAAGCAATTTTCAATTTTATTTATTAAGCTTATAATAAATAAAAACCAAATTAACTTTAAAAAGTAAATAACTTCAAGAAGAAAAACTATTTTACGATAATGGCACAATTCAAATACGGGGTAATTAATAATAATGAATTAAGATAATGCGCAGAACAATTTTGGAAATAGAAGAAGAATAACTCCAAAACTCCAAAGCATAATTTATTTGTCTTTTTATCACACGACGAAGCCAAAATTTATTGTACACTAAAATACAAAAAGATGACATTATAGCACTTCAGAATTCAGAGCGAGTGGAACTTGAATTAATGGCAACTTGACAGTCAAAGAGCCGAGAAGGGAACATTTATGGGACATTGACCAATGAATACGATAATTTTGATAATCTCTATTTTTTTATATCTATTACTAGTATTATTTTAAATGAAGTTCCAAATCCAGCCTTCTATGGCTAAAACACAGAATCTAGTCCAAAACCAAGCTTAATCGAGCTAATATTGGGCCTATTCCGAATTAAATTAAGCCTTGATGGATTTTATATTACCTCAACAACTCCTTCTTCATTAAAATTTGTAAATTTTAATGACAAAATGATTAAGATATCCTTACACTCATTTTATTTATTTATTTATTTATAATATTTTTTTAGGATTAAGGATGGTGGAGAGGAGAGTGGAAGTAACAAGATAAAAAAATTAAATTTTTTTTTTAAATTTTATAATATATTTTGTATTATAAAAATATGTTACAAGAATATAATTAATTTTTTATAATTTTAAAAAAGGTCAAAGTAATAAACCTCTGAACCGACCATTCTTATAAAATTTGATCAAACCGCGGTAAATATTTACCCTTAAATTTATAGTTGAATTCACCTTAAAAGTATGTTGGATCCGTTCGGTCAAACCCGTACCATTTTATTTAGTATGTTCATATTCGTGCCTAATCCAATATATATAAGGAAAGAAAAAAAAAAAAAGTTAAAATAAAAAAGAGGGGTTTCTCTGTCCACTTGCAAATACTGGCAGTTTTTTAACATTCAGATCGGATACTGACCTCCTCTGGCGGGTATAATAAGTTCGTTCTACCCATTTCTTTTTCAATTTTTTTATTTCGTTTTTATTTTAATTTTTTCATTTAGGTTATATATATATATATACACACTCACATTTATATATTCATTCGAGAGAATAGAATGTGGGTCTGTTTTCCTATGTTTCTACCTTATATATTCAGTTCTTAGATCGAGTTCTGGCTTTTGCAGCATGGTTTATTGGTTTTGTTCTCTTCTTGAGAACGTTGTACATGTGTTGCTGCATGCAAGCTAATTGATTCGTGGATTTATCTTTCCATTTTTTTTCTGATTCTGGTGAGTCTTCTGCTGCTGTATTTTTCATCTCTATTAATTTTCCATCTATGTACATTTTCTTGGATTTGATCTGGATATCATTCTGATTTTCTTTCTATCCATATCTCTATGAGTTTGTGCACATGTCTTCCATGGTTTTTCTGCTTAAAGATTATGTTTTTGGTTGAGTTCTTCAAGAACACCTAATGGGTTTTTATTTTTTATTTTTTATTTTTTATTGATTCAATCTATATGATATAATCTGTGGACATTTTAGGCCTTCCAGTTTTTTTTTTTTTTTGGCTTTGTGATTGCACATTAGGAGTTTAATTTTTGGTGCTTGAAGGGTTTTCAGATTGATTTCTGTAATAATTGATTTAGGTGTAAAGAGGGGCTGGTGAATGGGGGCTCAGACAATGGGATCTCAAGGTGGAGGTTGTGGCAATGTTGGTGGAACCCAAGAGCAAAAGTTGCATGCATTGGCCAGGCAAGGCTCCTTGTACAGCCTCACACTGGATGAGGTTCAAAACCAATTAGGGGATTTGGGGAAGCCATTGACCAGTATGAATCTTGATGAGCTTCTCAAGAGTGTTTGGAGTGCAGAAGTTAATCAGGGATCGGGCTGCGTTGATTATGGGGCCGCACAGCACAGCCAACTTGCTTCGGCCTCCTTGCTGCATCAGCAGTCAAGCCTTTCGCTGTCCGGGGATCTGATCAAGAAGACTGTTAACGAGGTGTGGCAGGATATCCAACAGGGGCAGAAGAATAATTGTTTTGACAGGAAATCCCAAGAAAGACAACCTACTCTAGGTGAGATGACACTGGAGGATTTCTTGGTGAAGGCAGGGGTGGTTGCTGAATCATCTCCAGGGAAGAAAAATTCTGGTCCTGTTTTAGGGGTTGATCCTGTTGGTTTGCCCCAAGAAAATATTCCACAACAAACTCAGTGGATGCAGTACCAGCTCCCAATTCAGCAGCCACCACAGCAGCAGCAACAGAATATGCTGGCTGTTTATATGCCAGGTCACCCGGTTCAGCAGTCTCTTCCCATGGGTGGAGCCCCGATTACAGATACAGGTTATGCTGAAACTCAGATGACCATGTCATCATCCCCTTTGATGGGCACACACTCTGATACCCAGACACCTGGACGCAAAAGGGTTGCTCCTGGAGATGTGATTGAGAAGACTGTCGAAAGAAGACAGAAGAGAATGATAAAGAATAGGGAATCTGCAGCAAGGTCACGAGCTAGGAAACAGGTTGGATATCAAATGTTTGACTGTGTCTCTTTGTTTTCCCCCATGTAGGTTGTTTTCATTTCTTTTCTCCATGTCAAAAAAATTTCTCTATGTTGATGGACAGGCTTACACCCATGAGTTGGAGAACAAGGTTTCGCGTCTTGAAGAGGAGAATGAAAGGCTTAAGAAGCTGAAGGTAGCTCTATAACCTTTTTCCAATCTACCCTTGTGGCATTCATTTCTGTCATATGATTTCATTACATATAATCTGATAAATTGTAAGACCATTACCAAAGCTCTGATATGTCAGTACGAGCGTGACTTTAGAGGGGGGAGTGAATAGGTTTTATGGTTATTAGTTTGTAGTTAACTAACTTTTATAATTGCCATTGATCCGTTTTTGAAATTCAATTAGTTAGTTAGTTGTGAAGATTGATAATTAAATTACAAATAATTTTCAATTTTCAGCAATCCTACTCACAGTCATGCATCAAATAGAATTTAAAGAATAGTAGAGTAGAAACACAAAGATTTTCACGTCAAATCCCCAATAGAAAAAACATGGGACCAAGTCCAGGAAGGCATAATCCACCATATGAGAAAGAGATTACAATCAGTTGAACAGTTCCCGCACCTTAGAATCCCTAGTTACCTTTTGACACAGACTGACCCCAATCTCTCCATCAAGTCTTAAGGCCATTCGTCCACTCGTCAATAAACTTTACTCCTCACAAATCTGCTTCTCCAGTGAGTACTAGCCCTTTCTGCTTTGACAGTTGAATTGGATTGAATTGATGAACTCTTCCTTGATTAACACTCAATCACATATGATGAAGTCTAAGGAAATTCTAGATTGAGTAATATAGGAATTCTCCTCTCGCGCAAGGATTCTCTCTTTAGATGATTAGAGACATTCAACTCACACGTAGACTGATTATAATTTCATGTTTATAGCTAATTAGGAGTCCCATTGGTTTTAGTAAGTATAATCCTTGTAAAATTGTGTTTTAAGAGAGTTAGCAAAAATATATGTCCGTTAGGTTTGATCGATTGACCTTTGATTGAGCTTACTGGACACTCCTAAAACGATCAACACTTCGATTGATGCTTTCTAGATTTGAATATAATTTTTATTTTAAAATCTCAATTGATCGACCATTTGATTGATGACTATTGGAAGGTGTTCGATTGATCCGCCATTTGACCAATGCACATTATTTTTCAGTTCAAAATCTAGTTTAAATGTAAATCATTTAATTTTGAAAAGCTAATTTCAAAAACACGCTTAAAATAAATTTATGAGCCCAACCAAGATCAAACGAGGTCAATTTAGGTCATTCTATTGTCATTTTACCTGTGCCCTAGTTATGGGATTGAGGATGCGGACTTCTTGCCGTGTTCTTCGAGATACCGAGTCTGCCTTGTCTTCAATAGACGTGCTTGAATGACTCGAGACACTTTGACACATTACAAGACAAGTTTTGAGTAGGAATATGTCAGCACATGACTCATATACCTAAAGAATTTATTTTCTGCTTTTATCGTAGCAGCTCAATACATGCAAATGTAATGTTCTGTATGATTCTCAGTCAATTGCATTGTCTTTTGGCTCTAAACTGCTACTGCTTTCTCAAATTGGGTAAAGCCGAATCCCTTGCAACTTAATTCAGGATATATATATTTTTAAATCATAAGATTATTTGCAAATGCTTAATGAACGTCATAAACAGTTGCATGCAACCACCCCGAAGCCACATGTATCAGGTTTGTCTGGGAGGAATTGAACTTGAGGCTATCACCAAGATTCTTGCAGTCTGTACTTAACAATTACTTCACCATCCCCTATGATTTGGTGATGGTAATTAATTGTAGTGAACGTCAGGAGTGATCATATCCCTAAAGCCAAGCAAATCAAATTATTCACACCACTTGGTAACTGTCGGTTATAGATATAATTATTTATGTTGGTAGAGGGTGGCGATAGGAGGATAGAATGTGTCAGACTGGTAGAATCTTTATATAGAAGCTACTTAATCTTAAAGCCAATATGAAGTCGATCATGAAGTGGACAATCAAGCCAAAGGGATTCATTATCTATTAAGAATGAACAAAATAGTTTTCTGTAATTGGTTTTTCGGATACTCATCATTTTCTACAATATATTAGTTGTGAGTTGATATAATTATGTTTTATTAGTAAGGTGATGGGGAACTAATTCCAATACTAGGACTTGGTTTCTGTATTCTGAAATTTGTCATGGTTGAAGACTAGTGAGGCAGTATCTTCTTTCTTATCGGTATATATACATTGTAAATTATCAAATAGAAAACTCTCTCTATCATCAATTAGAAAAAAAATAGAATTGATATAAGCATTTTTTGAATTTAAAGAATCATTTTAATTGCATTTTCTTTTTCAAAAAAAAAAAAAGGTTCTATATGTGTTAGTGGTGGTCATGCCCAATTACAGAATATCAAGGTTTCCAACTCTTGACTGATGAGATAATTGAAAAAGAAGTCAAATGAAATAAAGGAAAAAATGTGTGGGAGAGAGTCCAAAAATGGCAGAAAGAGTTTAAAAGAGAGAATATAAGTTTCTATGCAGGGAGTCAAATCGAATTAAACAAAAAAGAAGAGTCAGTGAGTCAAAACTGACAACTTTTACCCGAGTCAAGGACTATGTTATCTTGAACACATAGTTACTTATCAAAAAAAAAAAACACATAGTTATAGCTGTCTTTAAGAAAATTCATTCTGCTAGGGCTTGGAGTTTTATCGTATCACTTCCTTTTCGAAATGAAAAATTGATAGAAGTGTCTTACACCTTTTCGAAATGAAAAATTGATAGGAGTGTCTTGCACGACACCATAAATTGATATGGAATGGTACAATAAATAGTTGAAAGTAACAAAATTTGAGAAGATCAATAATGAAAATTTGCAGACATCTGAAAAGCCCACACTTCACTTGAGTTTAGGTGAGTGTGCAGTAAGTTGGATTGGAACTCTTGGTTCGCATAGATGGTTCTTAAGCTTGAGCTATTAAAGGGGTCTGCTGCTGGCCTGGCACTAGACAAAGTGCTGTTGTTGTGCTGGGCTGAGCTTGGGGATTTTTCTGCACTTGTGAGATGAAAATTAATAATGGAACAAATATAACATATTATTTGAAACTGATACAAGAAATAAAGGTGGAATTGGACTTTTACTGCATGTCTGATATAATTTAACCAATCCCAAATTAAAAATTCCTTAGTAAAACCTGTTGATTGCGTGTTTGTTTGAAGAGCTTGTATTTTCTGTCAGTGTAGGTTATATTGCACCAGTGGATGTTTGTTTGGCACTTGTATTGTTGTCATCTAATGCCCATGTGAATTTTTTGGTGGGTTAAGTAGGTAAGGGAACTGGGGAAAGGGCTTTACTGACTTAGAAACTCTTCCTATTACATAAGCTTTCCTTCTAAGAAAGAAGTTATTAATCTCTCCAATCTTTTAGCAAACTTGTTTTGCATTTAGCATTCACAATATTGGTTGGAGATGTAATGTTTTCGTTATTTGAAAAGTATTTTTCTGAGACAATTTAGAAATTGAATCCGTAACGTTTCTTGTTTAGGTCCATAAGATCATTTAACACTCAGGTGCTGTTTGGTAACTCAATTCAAGATTTAATTATGAATATATTAAGTGATTATCAGTTAATTGTATCTGATAACACAATTTATATATACACTTAATTGAATAAGTTCCACTTAGAATTGGTTAAAATCTTAAGTGATGGAGACAACATATATTGAACACTTAAATTCCAAACAAGTAACAAAAACATTCAATATACAATTAATGCTTATAAACTCAGCACTTAAAATTTTGAGTACCTAATTTTTAGGTTATCAAACAGCACCTTAATATCTTTTAAGATACAGTCCAGCAAAGTTAATCCTCTACCTTCCAGTTCGTCTTTTAACTTCTTCCATCATCGCGCTTCCTTTGTGTTTTCTTTTTTCCCTATCGCACTTCCATTTTTTGCTTCATATGTCCTATACTTTTAGCAGTTTTGCAAACAAGTTACCTTGCTGTAGCCTAGATAGTTTTCTTCTTGCTAAAATGCAATTCAGGCTCTTCTTCCTTCAGTTGATGGATGTCAAAATGACAGACAATTCCCTTGAAGAATTGTTGTTTTTGTTGTAAGTGACGGAAAAAATACATGACATTCAATACCTCATAGCCTGAAGAATTGCGATGGAATAATTTTACATAAAATTTACCTTTTATTGATTCATTTCCTTTTCTCCTGCTGCTTGTAGTGTAAATCTTTGGGGAGTTGGCAGTGTTCAGTGTATTCCTCAGATGCTTGTAAAGTTGGCAGCTTGTCTTCCTTAGATGCTAGTAAAGTTAACCACTAATTTTCCTACCCCTGTTATTTGTCAAGTCACAGTGATACTTTAATTCGCTATTTAAACAAGTCTTGGGTTTTCTGTAATCAAGCAAAGACGCTTTCCAAATAAAAGCCTACTCAGCCTAAAGTGGTATGCAAAGACTCTTTCCAATTAAAAGCCTACACAGCCTAAAGTGGTGTAATGAGATTGCCAAGTATGCCGATCTTGCCCCCCCCCCCTTTTTTCTTTTTTCTTTTTTATCTCAATTATTATTATTTTTTGTTATAATTTTGATGATTTACTGGGAAAAGAACATTATCCCATGTACACATTGTGTATACAATAGATACCCCCCTTGGAGGTCAAAAACCTTCCTAGACTCCATATGCCTGAAAAAGCCAATAAAAGAACTAGGTGAAAAAACTACCTTCCTTGAAATCCATCGATATGAAGAACTATGCGTCGTTGGCATGTATACCTTATTCCATGATAGATGAGTCTTGCTCCACTAGATCAAATAGTAATTTTGTATAACCGTGCCCTTCCATTTAGAGGTCTAACAGTCATTTATTAGACATTGATCAAGTTTGCAAACCCCAATAAAGCAAAGATGCTTGTGAATGTGTTATAATGCTCCTCTGGTATTCTACTTCAAATAATGTATCTGTGGGTGAAGGATAATATGATGGGGAAAAATAACATAGCTTCACCCTTCAGTTTTTATTTGTCAGAAAATCCCAAATATATATATATATATATATATATAATTTTGAAGATTGTATTTATATATATATTTCAGGAAGGTAAAAATTCTTGAAGATTGTTGTTTTTTCAATCATGATGAATTGTTTTTTTGTAATTGAAGAATGGATGTGATCTTTAATGATTATCACTATTTGTAACAATGAAGTTTGATACTCTGAAAGATTGCTTGTGAAACGATCCAGTGTTGGTTTTATGTATGGAAGATTCAAATGATTGAAATATTTGCCATAAAAAGGCTACCCAAAAAAAAAAAAAAAAAATGGTGGATGGATGGATGCCATTTTCTTGGGAAGTTTCAACTTTTTCTTTTTTGCCTTCCCCACCCTTATATGGTACTTTCATGGAGCAGCTGAATATATATATATATATATATATATATTAGGCTGTCTTGTAGAACTAGGCCAACACTCATTTTGTTGCAGTTCTTCTGTCTTAGACTGGTTGTTATCAACATCAGCCCTTCTCCTAGAATTAGATTCAATTCATATCCACCCTGTTTAATAACTCTAACCTGCTGTAGAGGTCTTCTCAGCTAAAATTGGACTGGTGGTTATTTTCCAATAATGTTAAATATTATAGTTGTCCAAACAATGGTTGGGAAAAAGCTTTGTTTGTTGTTGTTGTTTTATAGTTGTCCAAACAATCAATTGTTTATAAATACCTTAATATTTATTGATTCCAAACCAATTGTTCATGCGTTCCTTTTTTCAATATTTACACTTCCTGTTAATAATTAAATTGTTGATTTCATAATAAAAGATAGGTTTGCCATTGGTGCAGATTTAAGCTTTCTAGGTTTAGTTATCATGTATATTTTTAGTGTTACATGAATCACCCATTGGTTGCATCCATAGATCAGTTGGCCTGTTCATTGGTCTAGAATGGTGTAACAAATAAAAAATTTGAGAGAAACTCGCTCTCTTATATATCAATTTCAAGTTGGTGCAGATTTAAGCTTTCTAGGTTTAGTTATCATGTATATTTTTAGTGTTTACATGAATCACCCATTGGTTGCATCCATAGATCAGTTGGCCTGTCCATTGGTCTAGAATGGTGTAACAAATAAAAAATTTGAGAGAAACTCTCTCTCTTATATATCAATTTCAAGAGTATCTCTTTCCTTCTTGTTTTATAAACTTTTTCTTGGTAAACAATGATAACTATCGGAGCAGGACCCAAGTGAAGGATCCTATCTTGACACTTGTAACTAACGCTCCATCTTGTATGCTATTGGTATCATCCCTTGAGCCTCGAAAGGGCCGAAAGTGAGTCAAGTTAAAGGTATTGTTGAGGGTCTTAGTGTACCCACGGGATCTTATATACCTAAACTTCGTTACTAATTATTTATGTTGTCTAATCCCCTAACTGCAGGGTTCACATTTTTTTTTTGATAAGAGACTGCAGGGTCCACTTAATGGCCACCTCGTGATAACCATTCACCACAATCCTCCCAATTATACAAGTGAAAGCTTCCACTAATAAAAAGGACATTCCCAAGTGTTAGTCCTGTCTATGTAAAGTGCTGGGAGGAGATGAGTAAAGAGAAATTTAACATTTGGTATTATTTTACACAAAGTGGCTAATCTAAGATCTAACCTGTGCTTTCATGTTATTGACTTGTCTAGATTTGACTATTGTAGCAAGCAATGATTTCTTGAACTGAAAAGAGAATAGAGTGGGTCTTTTTTGTTATGTTTTCTTGAACTGCCACAGAAGCTTACCAGAGTTTTGATGATTACTAAACTTTTCCGAGCAGAGATGCCAGAAAATCTAGAAATTTGGACACTCTTATCTATCTCTCTTTTTCCGAGTCAATTAGACTTTTATTTGGAAATTATTTGGAAATTTGGTCTGACATTATTTGGAAATTTAAGTTGGTCTGACATTATTTGGAAATTTAAGTTGCAATTCAACTTCACTTTTAAGGCACGATCACACTCTTAGATATCTTTACTTGGCCTGTCTGGTCATACGTTCTCCTTCCTAGTCAATTGCATTGGCTATGGCCATTGCACACTGGGCTCAATAAATAATCGAATGTAGAAAGGGGATCCTAAACAAAAAAGCTGTGAAGATTTTCCAAGCGCTGGTATGTTGTAAAGAAGAGAGGAGACTATTGAACTTGCTCACTGAATACATCCTAAGAAAGTTTTTCTCGCCTCAGCTCCATCCTTTTTCACTGAGATATACATCCTAAGAAAGTTTTTCTCGCCTCAGCTCCATCCTTTGACACTGTGAGATGATATTTATTGCCCTTCCACCACAATCTCACCACTGAGAGTATCGCCATAAAGACTGTGATCTCTTGGTAAGATCTCTCTCGAGTTCTGAGCATCTCAGCTTTCAAGTAAGATTCTCTTCTTGATCTTCTTTCTGCCATATTCATTCCATTCTCTGGGATTTGGACTTGTAGTTGGTTATAGCTTCTGGAGGTTTCTGAGTTTTATAGAAAAATGAGTAGTATTGTAGGAGGCCAAAAAAATATACAATTTAAAGAAAAAATGCTGTCAGGAATTTGGTTTGATATTAGCATATAACCAAGATGTATAAGCCAATGTAAGACTTAATTTGAGAGCTAATAGGTTCTGTTGGTGGCGGCGGCAGTGGTCCTTCCATTTCTTATTCTCTAGGTAGAGCTTGGTTTCTTTTTGCTATTTTGAGTGGTATGTGCTTATAAATCATTACAATAAATTTTGGTTGGTGGAAGTTCCAACGGATACCTTCATCCATGTGATGATCGAAGTGAAAGATCATTATGCTTGAAGGGAGTCTCCTGCCGCTCTCTCCTGTGATTCATAGTAAAACTGATATCTCTTACTTCTTGGTTAAAGTTGTCTCATGCTCCCATTTTGGGGCATAGCTGGGGTGGAAAAGGGTCCAGTTATAATATTAAGCAGAAAGCAAGACATTCATCTCCCATTGTTCTTCCCAAAAGCAAGCCATCATCACATTGTTGGATACAACTGGGAAAGCTATTGTATAATTTTCTTCTGTTCTGTTATTTTTCATCAGTAGATTTTTTGTTTTCATAAAAAAGAAGCGGATTCTTTTCATTATTTTTCACGCTGTTAAATAAATCAAAGTGAGAGGGAGTAAATTCATAAACAATTAATAAGTGGAAATAGTTTTACTCAAATATTATTGATTTGAAAACTTATGAGTGCGTTCTTCATTTTTTTTTTTTTTCACTTAGCGAACAATGAATCCACTAAACAAGTTATATGCCAAATCTTGACATATGAATTTGTTTCAATTACTTCTACTTTGTTTCAAATATATAGGATACCTTTTTTTCCCTATATATAGAAATACTTCTCCTTGTATAGATGTTGGATATTTGTGTTAATCTGTGACTCATATTGGTTTGGACACCGAAACAGAATCATTTCAATGTTAAAATTTTGGCACATCATAAGCACATCATTAGCATGGCTTGAACATGTAACCTCTCTATCCTCACCTTCACTCTTGGGCACTTGAACTACAGGAATCCACTTCGATTTTTACCTACTGATTTGCTGAAGGGAGGTTATGCACTTCACCAAGAAACCCTCAATATATTTGTTTTGCTATATATGGTTCTTGTGCATGGAAACACCCGGAGGTTGATACAATTTGTGTGATCAACATTTTCAGTTTACAAAATTACATAAACCCTGTTTTTGTGTCAAGAATTATCATGTGTTTAAAATAGTAAGCTTACAAAAATACACATATTACCTGTTTCTATTAAAGATTTTAGGGGGTCGCCATGACTAACACTCCATGTGTCAAAGCGCTCACTTATGTCACAAATTTTAGGGGTTTAATTAGTTTTAATCTACCGAACTTTCCCTAGCTTTTGCTCATTTAATTTTGGTGAATTTTTGTTCTTACTTGTCCAAAAAAAAAAAATTTGGTGAATTTTTGTTCTTGATGTGTTCTTTCTTTTTCCTGTTAAGATTATGATATTAGTGTGTTATATATCCTGGGGATCCCTGAAACATGCATTCTTAAAAGTGGCCAAGCTTCAGACTTTGTTGTAGTCTAATTTATTATTAATGTTATGTTTCAAAATTTTCCCAATTTTCTAAAAACTGGAGCCAATTGTAGCAATGAGTTTTATAAGATCACGCCTTCAAGAAAATTAGATACATTGCTCAAATCATAACTTTCCCCCCTATGTGTTCCTTTATGAGATGCCCTGTTAGAAGAGGTGAAAGTAACGGATGTAGAATGTGACAGCTCCAATAAATAAAAATGGAAAAAGGAAGAATATCTGGCTTATTTGCAGTATTTTTCTTTTACTGCAAGTAGACGTACAACATTTATAATGAAAATCACTTTGTTAGTTTCCCCTTCATATGAAAAAACACCTCTTAATATTATATTGACGAAGCTGAGGAACTGGAAAATTCATTTTCCGATCATGGAACATTGAAAGGGTGTTTTTCTTATTCTGAATTGTTGTTACTATGTTATATTTTTGTTATTGTTAAATGACGCCACTGTTAAAAGTGCCGACAGCATATGATTTGCCCCCTTTATTTCAAAAAAATATATATTCGTTTTGATTGGTTTGGTTTTTCCTTGTAGGAGGTGGAGAAGGTATTGCCATGTGTACCACCTCCAGAGCCGAAGTATCAGCTCCGCAGAACAAGCTCAGCCCCTTTCTGACATCTGGTTTTTTGTGGTGTATGAGCACTGTGTAGATGCGTCGAGTTTGTTCCTAGTTTTCATTAGATAACGTTAGTCCTGAAAACTCCCTTTGTATCATGGACCAAATCCATGTTTGGGTGACTGCCTTGGGAACTTTTTTCATCCATAGGTCTCTAGTTGCTTGGTCTGCACTTGGCTGTCTCTTCCTCTGCTCTTTTCCTTGCATGTACATTTTTATAGTTTCAACTTGGCATTTTCTGTTTCCATAACTTGTCCTTTTTACTCTCTCTTTAATCAAAGTCTAGCTGGTGCAACATCTAATTGTCTTGGTTTCTTGCAACTTATAACATTCCTAAGTAGAAATTATCCATAAAATAGTTTAGGAGTTGTTTAATAGTAAATTAAAGGAAATACTGATTTGACTTTTTTATTTCTAATGCGCTATTCACATTAGCTTGAGATTGTTGCCGGTAGTCAGTGCAAGTTACTGTTACTTTGGGCTGTAAATTGATAAAAGTAAATAAATTGTTTGAACACCATGAAGGTACCGCAACAATTGTGTTTTTCACACGTCAGTCTTGCAGAAATAGAACTTCATTGCTAGTAACACCTAGCATATTCAGTTTGGATAAAATGTATCTTTTGAAATAAAACTTAATATTGTAAAGGCTACCAAAATCCGTTTGACTGAAACCTTTTAATTCTTTCATATACACCCATCATGCCACTTTGTGAGAACAGGCAGTTTAATTTACTATCAAATATAGTAATTTATTTAGCATTCCGAACCAATAAAAAAAAGCTTAACCATTCACTCCCAACCAAACCAAGTTCCCACATAAGAAACCAAGAACATATTTCTTGTCTCTTGAATGTCATAACTAATTGATCTTGTACATAAACTGAAACACTTTTCCACCCCCAACACGCGCACAAAGGAAGAGAGAAAAGGGACCAGGTCAACCCGGCTGCCTTAAGGTAACCATATTAGGCAAATACATTGGATATGGCAAGACCACCCTGCTAACTTAAATTTTTTATATTTGGATATGTCGTCATTGCAAATCCTCTACGCCATATAACTACACTTGCAATACCGAAACACAATTACAGTTAAAGGCAGCGTAATAAGCTTACAGATAATCATGATAAACTGTGTTCACAAGCACGATAACATTTTATAAGGAGTTACATATTCAAGCATCTTACATTACAACAATTACCAGCTTGACTTTTTTAGGAATGAAAGGAGCATCATGTTAACACCCAGTTGCAAGTCGCTGCACCTGATCACATGTTTTTCTATGAGCAATTTGTATCGTAACTCGCAAGTCCCTGCAACTCCGGTCCTTCCAGTCGAGGATTGTTCTCGAAACTACACAATTCAATAACCAGAAAATTAATGGAGGAAAAAGAAAACACACAAGGACAGAAAAACAAGTTCGGAAAGAATGGCATTAAGCTCGCCATAAGAAAAAAAGAAAAAGAAAAAAGGAAGAAAACAAAAAAAAGTACAACAATGCAAACCACCTCCATGCAAATTGTTACAGGGTCAAATTTCACACCAAATTTTTTGCCTCTGTAATGGCACTAGGGGCCACCAAGTCTCAGCCAAACGCACACAATGCACACAAGTGGAACAACGCACAGATTTACAGGACAACACAAATCCACTAGATGCAGAATCTGAAATTCTTGAGCAGTGTAACAAGCAACATGGCATTCATTTAAAAACCTCAAACCCTAACTTTTTGGCACAGTTTGAACAAATATAAAATCCACTAGTGTCTGAGGCCCTCATATGTTTTTCTTTTGTCATTTTTTATTTTGAGTGGATCTTCAATAATATGGTCAAATCAGATGATCAATCATCTAGCTTCCTCAGTTTTGCAGCCCGTGTCAATGTAGGCGGAGCCCATAAAAAAATGTTATGCTCTTTAGGAGACCAAAAACATATGAAAGGGTCCATAGTTGTCAAGTTTGTACTTAACTGTTGGTTAAAAAGTTAATAAAAAAAAAAAAAAAGGGCAATTAGAAAGCATAGATGCTATAAGAGATTAGATTATCAGATCAATTGACACAACAAAATGTGTGAGAATAAGTCAAGGTAAATGTGATAAGAGAGTTGAAATTAATAAAATAAAATAAAAATAGCAAAACAGCAGGTGTCGTCTTAAAGGAGCACATGCATGCTCCCGTTTGTTTGGATGTGTGTGTGTGTGTGTGTGACAGACCAACAAGTAGGCCTGATTAAGAGAACTCGTGAACGGTCTACCTTAATAGCATATTGAACAGACACTTAAATTCAGCAGGTCAACTTATCTAGCAGACATGTACCTTCGAGTGTGATTTCAATCCACAGCACAACTCATTCAAGAATGAGAACTAGTTTCCTTTCTAATAAGAAGAAAATCAATCTTGCTTTCAACATGCTATCAAGACCAAAACGGAAGTCCCTAATATTTTCTTGTTACTTATCACATGTCGAACATCACAATTTCAAGTTTGCGGGGTAAGTTGCAAAAGCTATCATTAAGTGGAAAAATATAGTGCATATCAGACAAGGTTTAAAATCCAACAAATAAAGAACCAAATAGAAGAAAAGAAAAAAGAAAAAAGAAAAAAAAGAAGAAAAGAAAAAACACTGCAATTTAGCATGCTAAGTTTATGAAAGGGCAGGTGATAAAAAAAAGAAGAAAAAAGAGCATGTCCTAAGAACCTATCAACTGCAATTGGATGCTAAGGATTTAAACGAAAAATATTGAAAAAGAAATGACTAGAGAAATTGATTCAGGGAAAACCTACTTGTTCAATGGAATGCGCTCAAATGGACCCATAGTAGGAATTGTTCCACACAAATTGTTGTTTGAGACATCTCTGGAAAAAAATATATATATAGTTTTGTCATTTAAATATTTAATCACCATTGATACATGACCAATAACCAATAGGCTAAAAAAGGAAAAGAAATAGGCTGGGTACTTACACAACTTTAAGGCTGGAAATACCAACAAGCTCCCTTGGGATTGGCCCAGTTAGCTGATTGTCATTAAGACGTCTGCCAAAACAAAGTCGAATTAGTGACCAGCAATTAATAAGAAGAAAGAAGCATGTTCATTTGTGGATAGGTTATTGTGTTTGCAAGCTTGGTGTGCTCTCTCAGAGGGAGAGAGATTTAGGTCCTAATTTAAATAACAATATATCTTTTCTTTTCAGTTAGTGGTAACAATATATCAGGGCAAAGTTAAGCAAAATTAAAAACTTGGTAACAGAATAATGATGCGGCTGATATATTAGTTTACAATTCCGTATAGTAAATAATAGACTTATTCTTGGATCACATGACTGATTCAAGCATAATGAAGATTTGGAATCGCCTTCTCCAACTACTAACCCAGCATAAAAGGAAACAATATGGAAAAGGTCAAACTCACAAGAAAAGCAGAGATTTCAAACTCACAAGAAAACTAAAGATTTCAACTTCCCCAGTGGAGGAGGAATGACTCCTGAGATGTTGTTGTTATACAAATCCAAGCTGATTAGGCTCTTCAAGTTACCAAGCTCAACAGGGATTGTACCTTGAATCTTATTTTTGTATAGCTCCCTGCATCAAGAAAAAGTCAACAAAATTTCCAATAGGTTGAAGTATACGCACCGACTCTCTGCAAAGAAGTTTCAAGAACACTGCAACCAACCACAAACTGGATAGGAAATTTTTTGGACAAAGCGTAGCACTTAAGCAATGGTCAACGCACACATTACTGGCAAATAGACACGGCAATAATCACAATTACTTACAGATACTGTAGATGTTCAAGTTTTCCAAGCTCAGGAACCAGATGACCGGACAAGTTTGAATTCCCTAGGTCCCTGCAGAAGATAATATGACATGATGTTTAAGAGATGCATCAGCATTAAATTCTTCAGGTAAACAAATAGCAAGGTTGACATGAGGAGAAAGAAGAGAAATAGAGATGGGAAGAGAATTGTCTAATTTAAAATACCAAAGAACAGACCTTGTCAGTACACCCACAATCTAGAAAAGGTAAGAATTCAAAATGGAATATAGCAATCCAATCCATATAATTGAATTTAAATATTGCTGGCCTCTGTCGGGAGAGGACCGCTCCCTTGATGTATAGAAGAAGAAGAAGAGAGAGAGAGAGAGGGCATGCAAGAAAAATTTATTACATTGTTGGATCATTACATTGACAAAATCAAAAATCCCAACAAACTATAAAGTACAATTTGAAGAAAATAAGCATCCTAGGGAAGGAAAAAACCAAGAATAAAGTTAGTGTTTTGATGCCTCTGAGAATTGAATTATCCAGCTATGAAGCAGGACACAGACACGGGTACAACACGACATATGACAATAAAATAATAATATAATTTATTATTATATATAACAGAAATTAATTTTTTCTCAATTTCTCATCTATATTCATAACCATAACCTATTTAAATTACACCCACCATACATCTCATATTTCTTTTAAAAAACATAAAGGTCCAAATGCCTAAATTTTATTAAAATACAAACAAAGAAATTAGCTTTATATTCAAAACTTACAAGTCTTAATTTATTTTTATTTTTTTTCAGAAGGTTAACCGATATATATATATACACACACATATATGTTGGTTAATGTAGAGTAAGGGCCCATGCCCAAGAACAAAAAAGAGAGGCTTCATTGAAGCCCAAAACATGTAGATTTATATAGCTTAATGGAACTAACAGCTAAGTGGAACTAAAAAGAGACCTGTTTGGTCACACATCTCTCTTCTCTGTTCCACTCTCTCATCCCCTCCATCTCTTCACATTCTCAAGTCCTTCCTATCTAACGACGCACAAACAATCAGGGGCAGAGCCCGGAATTTCATTTGGGGGGCCAAAATAGTAATGTAATATTAACTTCTAAAAATAAAATAAAATAGTTGTAACAAATTTTCTTCCAATACATTTTTTTCAACAGTATATCTATATATTTTAATTCCCTGCATGCTTAATGATACGAGAAGAAAAAAATAGAGGGAAAAAAAAAAAAGTTAACAATCAATAATTGAAGTTATCGAGTCCCAAATTTTTTTTAAAATTTGTGTGTGTGTGTGTGGGGTGGGGGCAGCTTCATTTATATTTATATATAATCACAATAATCACCATAAATAGCTATTAGTAATAGGGTTTTGGGAAGGAAAAAAAATATTATTATTATTTTTTTTTTTTGGGGGGGGGGGGGACCGGGGCCAATGTTGTGTTCTGTTATGTATTTTATAGTTGCATTGTATCACTTTATGGTTTATACCACGATTTGTATGTTGAATCTTAGGATTTTTTGTGTGTGCTATATATAGAGAATGGATATATACACAAACATATATATTTATCAACTTCTTCTCTCTCTCTCTCTAAAGCTTGATCGGACTGAAATGTGTCCACCAGCGTTTCCAATCCATAAAAAACATAAAAAAAAAAAATTATGATGCTTCTACCAAATGTCGTACGCATGTCCAGGACAAGTGTGTCCAAGCCTCACGTGTCCGACACAGATACGTTACAGCTCCCTCGCACGTCCGTGCTTTAGAACTTAACAGTTAGATCGACTTATCCTGTTATACTTGACAGTTACATAACATTTCAACAAAACAAATTTTCATTCGTTAATTAAAGATCATCAAAATTACCAAAAATGAAAATGGTATGATGAAAATGAGCATACTAATTGAATTGGAATGGGAGAAAATGTACAATAACAATAAATAAATAAAACCAATAAAATACAAAAACAGATAACAAACTCATCTCAAATGCTTGGAAATAAAACATAAGCTGATTCAATTTCATTAGGGACTTTAAACACCTAGACCAACTGTTGTCCTTCAAGAACAAGCATTCAAAGTCAATCCCAAACTATACACAAACCCAATAGTTGAATTACTGTCTTCAAACATCTTGATTCCTACCACCCCAGAAAAAAGTGACTATACAAACATGTGCATCCGTTGGTAGAAAAACAGAAATGATTCCCTCTATTACCTACTGTAATCTAAATCATGGGTGACGTGGAATAAACAGTTTTAATTCAATCTTTAACTATAGAATAGCTTCCTAAAACACCAATTACCTATGTAAATCCAACAAATTACTCCCAGAAATCCACAATTATAGAAAGTAAAAAAAAAATTACATAATTAGTGGGGTTCTCTCAAACAAACTTTAGAAGTAAAAGCCAAAGAAATTTTATAAGATATATCAAACAGATTAGCTCCTAAAACCCATAATTATAAAAACTCAAAAAAGTACAAAATTACTATGTTTTTCTCAAATAAACTTCAAAGGTATCCACCAAAGCAAAAAGATATACATATATACATTTATATAGAGAGAGCGACTACATACACTCGAGTAACGCGGTTATCTTGATTGCAGGTGATGTGGAACCAAGTACAAGGGTTGACAAGATTCGGATCCCAGCTACCCAGGACGTTATCGGGATCCGTCAAGCTCCGTCGCAGCGCGTAAAGTGCGTCCCCTTCTGAGTTCCCATTTACAAAAGGAACCGTAGCAACTGATATTAGGGTTAGGACAAAAACGTGAACAACAGTACTCAAGCTCAAGCTCCAAGACCAGGAAGTGATCAACCCAGCCATTGCTTCTCTACCCTTTTGCCCTTCCTCTAGGGTTTCAATCGATACGCACAACCACAAAAATGAAAATATAGAGAATTTTTCTAGAGAGAGAATTTCAGTTGTGGGGAATAACAGGGGAAAAAGAAGATGGAGTGGTAGGAATATTTTTTTTCTTTCATTATTTTGTTTATTTTATAATTTTTGAATTGAATGGGTTGGGTTGTGTTGGAGTCGTATTGGTTGGGTTTGTTTTCTGGGCAATGAAGACCTAGTGCGTGGCCTTCACTATCGACAATAAAAAAGAACAGGTCAAAGAAAAATTAGACAGATTTGTTCATTTGGAGTCATTTAGGTCGAATTTCATTTCAATTTGAGAGGATATATGCTTTTAATTGTGCCCACTATACTATTTGATAATTGACCAAGTCACAAAAAGAGGCTGGTTCAAGTCAACAATACAACTTTCTCGATTCTCATCGTGATCGTGAAGCCAGTACAAGTGCCCAAATCTTATAGGACTTGAGTGCTGAATTTTATATGTGAGAACTTATTTCATGTACTCTGAATTTTGAGTGTAAAATTTGGTAAAACAAAAAAAAAAAAAAATTATGACCTTTAAATCTTGCCACTCAAGCAACTTTGACAAGTTCGTTTGGTAGAAATTTCAAAGGTAACTATTTTCCAAAAATTCATCTTCCTTGATTAAAAGGTCATATTCCTTCCTCGTGTTCCTCGTTTTGTCAATGCAAGAAAAAAAGTTGTACCAATTTTAAGTTTATCACATGGCTTCCAAATGATATCCGCGTGAAATGGGGGCAGATTAACTTATTTAAATAAATAAATTTTGATAACGCAAGTCGAATATGAATGAAAATTATAAACACCATTTAAAATAAAATAAAATTTTAAATAAAAAATATTTATTTTTTAATTATCACTTAAAAAGTCATAAGCATCATTTAAAATAGAATAAAATTTTAAATAAACATATATTTTTTAAAAAATATATTTATTTTTTAATTACCACTTAAAAAGTTCAGCACTTCAATTTTATGGAACCACCTTTGTAATGAATGGAGAGATTTATAAATCCGTTGGCTCTCATCCAGGGACAAGCAAAATATTTTGACATCACTGGGCAGAAGGAATTTCCTACTTATAGGGTAGGAGGCACCTATTGTCCTATTTAGAATTCAACCACATAAGACACAAATAGTGTAAAGAGATATGAAAAGAGAAGCGGAAGTTAAAGGAAAAAACAAAAAATTATGGAGACTTCCATTTCATGCAAGCCAATCCACTAATCTAACTTCTAACCATTCTTGTCTTTAAAAAATAAAAAAAAATGCAAGCCAATCCACTTTAAATATTGAAAAAGTAAAAATCCAAGACCTGGAATTGATATTTCTACTTGATCACTCATTTAAAAAGTTGCTCGCATACATCTGCTCTCTGAAGTTCAGTTACTGATATTCATCAACGTGATCAACCTCTTTATCAGTCATCTTGCAAGTCAAAAACTCCAAAACAGTTTGATCCTTTTTCAATAATCCATTTAAAGCTCAATGTATCAATGGTTCCAAACCCCAAAAAAAAAAAAAAAACACAAACAAACCAACACTAGCGTGTAGGTTTGTGTAGAAAAACAATAAGTAAAAAATGCTTTCAAGACAAGTATGACAGTGTTAGAAAACCAAAATCAAGCTCAAGTACGGTGAACAAGTAGAAGAAGAGACATCAAAAATTCTAAAGCATGTATACAGAGAGTCTTGAATCAAAGTTCAAGTCATGCAAGTCTTGGATATACAAGTAGGCAGATTAAAATATATTCTCTAATAGTCCCCTTTACCAATAGAATATGGAGCTGAGTCTATAATGTGTTGGCCTTCTTCTACACTCGGTCCCATCCCATGGTTAATTGGGCAATTTCCAATCTCAGAGATCAAAGTCCAGTAAGAACTCTCAATAGACTGACTCTCTCTACTGTATATTATGCGCGGATGGAGAGGAATACCTTACTGATCTCAAATGAGTACAAGGACCCAACTTCCATTGATTTTTTTTTTTGAAGCTGTGAGAGTAGACTTACTTCTTTATCAAATATTGACAAGATCTTAACAAATATATACATACAAAGTGAATGGAGATTACCTTATTCAATCTTTGATACTAAATAGCTGTTTTTTATGATTCAGGATGTTTCAAGGTGTGTAGATTACTCAAGTCTAACCTTCAAATTCTTTCTTGGCTTATGCGGTAGCAGCTACTTGTCTGATTGGGTAAGCATCATCACGATGTCTTTCCAGATCTGTTATTTGTGATGTTGGAAGTTAGATTCAAACTGTAGCAGCTACTTTTCTGACCGGGTTCAAGCATGATCATGATAAACACCTTCTCCTGACATCTACACGCAAATATACCTTCTCCTATCAAGAGCACAAGAAAGACAACACCAGTCTTTTGATCTTCAATAACATAGCATAACATTAACAATATGCTCCGCAATTGCCATACTTGAAGTTAGGCCTGGTGACTCAATTCCAAACAGGTTTACAAGACCAGGTACCCCATGTGTGGCTTCTCCCTACAAAAGTAGTTTTATAGTTGAGGCAGAATTATCAAGAAGGCAAAAGCTAGAGGACTCACCAAAAACAGACCTCAAATAAACAACTTAAAATAATTAAAAAGGAAGTGTAAATCATGCCAATTGATAACATAACTTAAAAGAAAAGTAGCAGTACAGTACTATGTTTTGACAAGGTGATTTCATTCGAATATAGAAGTTATTTTGACATATTTTACTTTATTTATTATTATAAAAATCAATCCTACTACTACTGGTCTCTGGATTTCCACCTGCTTGCGCGCGCACACAAAAAATCCGAGGTGCATCACTCAAATCTTTGGTCCGGTAGTAGATTTAGCCTTTCTTGAGCAAGATACCTAATATTTACAACGCTCTGGTAATTAAAGGTCGAGATATTGCCGTGTGTTGTAGGCCTCGGGCATGAGTTTCAAACATGTAATTGGAGGCCACAGTATTTCCAATTGCACCAGACAGTTCTCAAGATCTTTTGGTTCTCAAATCATCGAGCAGAACTCAGATACAACCACCCCACACAAGATAGCAAGGATCGATAGATTGTTGCATACAGGCCAGGCCAAATATCTGCTGTTGAATGTGATCATTCAACAGGAGAGTCATCATTCAAAATAATTCCGAAGGTGCAACATATGAAACTTATATTCCTAGCTACATGCAAAACTTTTCAAGCATGATCAGCATAATACAAAGAGTAAGTTGACATAGAAAGAGAGTCAGCAAGAATTAACCTGTATTACAAAATCCACGAAACCCTGTTTGGGACCAGAAAGTTTCGGTCGGATGCCAGCATAACCGGGCTCCAGGGATCCCTCCTTCAGACTAGGGTAGTACTTTTTTATCTGTGGATAAAATTGCTTTGCACGATCCGCACTTACAGAATAATCAAACCTGGAATAAGACAAATAAAGACATCTAGTACCAGGATCTTTATTTTTCCTTGAAAAGGTGTCAAGCATCTTTCAAGTCTCGCTATATAGAGCATACTGGAAACATGAATTGATGTTTGGAAAAGCAAAGAAAATGAATGGATCAGTGAATGATTCATCTGCACTGTTAAAGCTCCAACATTAAGAAACTAAAACATCTAGGGCCTCTTTACTAACAGGAATGATTCCTGATTTTTACTATCAATTCCTAAAATTAAGAATCAAAAGTAAAAATCATGTTTAATAAAGTACTTTCACTTTTTTGTTTTAAGAAAGTACTTTCCAATTTTGTAAAGGGGAGAGAAAGTGAGAAATCCTCACTTTCTTGTTTTCTCCACTGTAGCGGAGGAATTACTTCCGCTACTGTAGCGGAACTGCTCACCCATATCACCCGTATCATCACCATCACCATCACCATCTGTCTTCTCTCTTCTTCTTCTCTCTACCACCACAAACTGCTACCAAGCACCGTCGATTAGCCATTGAAAACTGAAACCCCTTCAGGCTTCATCGTTTTGAAAGAGCAAGTAGAAACCCCATCATCACTCTCTCTCTAGCTTCTCTCTCTACTGGTTTAACCTAAGCCCACTTGGCTGAAAGTAGATGAACAGTGGCGGCGAGCAGTTTCTCCAAGATGAGGCAGGACTGAACTTATTGGTGGACCGAACGACGACGAGACTGTGACGATGTGAGCAAGGAATCCGGCAATTGGGCATCGGAGAGGCCAGGAGACCCAAATTCGCATCCACAAGCAATTCATACTCCAAAGTTTTATTCCCAGTCAGTTTGTTCGTGAATTCTGGCATCGGAGAAGGAGACCCAAGTTTGAGGCTCGGGTTTCCAGAAACAGTTAATGCTAACCCTTCGGCACCATGGCATACCGGCATAGCCCCGAACCAGCACCCAACTAAATTCATAGCTCCAACACTCACGGACACCGCCGTAGCTAACACTTCCCCGTCCAGAAACAAATCCGCCGATAACTTACTGCAATCACAAAATTCAGTATAGATAGCGGAATTTGAGGTATTGCAGCTCGAAGAAACCCAATTTTCCAATCCTCCCATGTAATTTTCACAATATGGAACTTGGATGGACCCAATTGGAGGTCCTGAATAATGGAAGGATTTCTAACAAAACACAAGATCAACCCAAGTAAGAAAACTATCAGAGCTGCCGGAATTGACGATAAAATCCGCAATCGCCGGTGGACTCGAAGTTGAGAACGATTTGAGGCTCTGGTTTCAATCTCTCTCTATACTTTTTCTATATATATATATGTGTGTGTGTGTGTGTGTGTGTGTGTGTGTGTGTTTGTAATCATTTGTGTGTATTGATATCAGACACACAAGAAGCATGTTACCCATCTCTTACACACAAGATCTGGAAAGCAAAATTAAAATTAAAATTTAATAAACTTACTTCCTATTTTTTTGCTTTCAAAACATTGAAAGTAAAAAAAAAAATTATTGAACATTATTTCACTTTCTATTTCACTTCAAGAAATCAAAATTATAATTTTACTTTTGCAGAAAGTAAAAGTAAGAAAGTGAAAGCGTTAGTAAACGGGCCCCTAATAAGTGTGGATATCCAATAAAAGTCTGAAACATTCTGTTGTTACGACAGAAACCGAAAAAAAGGCCCATAATGCTTTTCACCGCAGTAGAATATGGGTCTTACTATAGAGTTTCAGATATTGAAACATTGCATTTTTTCTTACCATGTTTCATGAATACCTGAGCTTCGACAGTGACCCAAATTTTGTCTTGTAACAAGTCTACTGACTCATTTGTGAAGGATGAATTTCACAGTGAAATGCTATGGAAAACAAAATGAAAGGATTTCATTTTTATGGGACATAGAAGTTGAATGGAAACAAAAAATAAAACTAGTAAACTAACTGCTAAAAGAGAATAAGAGATTTAAAATCGAGAAAATTATTACAAGTACACATAAGGAACTTGACTTATAATTAGAACCCTAATATGTGGTGCACCTTTACAAAAACTCAAAATTTGAAAAACTTAAAAAAGACCGTAACTTGACTCAACCATGGGGTTGAATTCATGGTTTTATATCAATACCCAGAAAAATTATCTTAAATAATCAGACCTCAATAATTCATCTAAATGTCATCGTCGTCGTCGTCATCATCATCCTTGCCTTTATCTGGACAAACGAGGTTGACCACTTGGATTCTCTAAAGGTAATGACTAATAAAGTAGCTGCAAGTCATTTTTTACTTTGAATCTGACACCTAGTTAACATGACCCTTTTAGTAAATGCAATAACACACCACAAAAAAAAATGCCCATTATAGCAATTCATAAGCAAAAATGAATGTCTCATGCATGTGATCCTCAAGGTTGCACAGCATCATAGAAATGTGGTTGCTTCCAAGCCGGATTTGGATCCATATGCTACTTATCACCGGATCAAGTTAAGTAACACCACACTACCATAGTTGTTAAAGGCACATTTAACCACCAAAAGGTTGCAAGGTGCAGCAAGGACAAGCTCGGCGCTTGCAACAAGGAGTGAGATGGCATGTCAAGTCACATGATTTTAGCCAAGGCTGAAGGCTCCTGAAAAGAACATCCCTATTAACTTTTGAAAGTTCAATATTCACCAATTCATTTTATGAGCCATCTTATACAAAGTTAGGTATGTACTTAATGTGTCCCCTTCCAAAACCCACGATTAGTGGGACCAATACTAGGTAATGGCCATTTTGGTCTTGTATGAGCCATTGATTAATTGTGGTGCCTGCTGATTCAAAGCTCCACAATGCACCTGAGCAAAATCATTAAGAAAACTGAAACAAAGATTTGTACTCATTGTTTACACCCTTATTTTCCACTTTCCAGCAGCATTTTACCCTGGTCGATTTCAATGGAAAGGTACCATGACATTCCAGTGGAAAGTCTTGGGACACATGGCAGTCAAGGAAGCAAGCGGTTACAAGTTGTTACATGCAAAGTCATGGGACACATAGCAGCCTAGGAAGTGAGTGGTTACAAGTGGTTACATGCAAAGTCATGGGACACATGGCAGCCTAGGAAGTTGGTCAATTCCAATGGAAAGATACTACGACGTTCCAGTGGAAAGTCTTAGGACACATGGCAGCCAAGGAAACAAGCGGTTACATGCAAAGTCATGAGACACGTGATAGCCTAGGAAGTGAACAGTTACATGCAAAGTCATGGAACACATAGCAGCCTAGGAAGTTGGTCGATTCCAATGGAAAGGTACTACGACATTCCAGTGGAAAGTCTTGAGACACATGGCAGCCAAGGAAGCAAGCGATTACATACAAAGTCATAAGACACATGGCAACTTAGGAAGCAAGCTGTTACCTTCAAGCTACCATTACTAAATTCTACAAATAGAACATGATATTATAACTTAGAAAGTCTGCTCAATGCCAAACACAGCATTTCAATACAACATTACTTTTCATTGCAATGCACTTTCAATATGATTAGTTTTAGTCCTGCACTTTATTTTTCATTAGATAATTCCTTTACTTTCATAAGTAACGTAGTTCTTCCTAGCCAATTAACTATCCCGCAATCTTTTATCAAAGGCAAAAAGAACCCTGAGATGTTCATTCTAGACCTCTTCACAATTGCCTGGTCTCGCAATCTTCCTTCTGAAATATTGTTTGGATCTCTCTTCGTAACTACTGCAGTACCTAGCACACCCATCCGGTTCCATCGGAACCGACCGCTTTTTTCGGGCCAAACACTCATTGAAATGGTTGAAAAGCAAAGGGATGAGATGAACCCCAACTTTTGAAACAAAGAGACTGAGATGAGGTGACTATTTGATCTCTCCCCCAAATATCAGCATCTTTTTCTCTCTCCCCATAGTTACAATTCTAAGCTGTTAGTCTATATCCTGACATGTCCAAGATTCTATCTCCACTTTTTCCTATTTTTGAACAAATTTGTTTGACATCTCTCTCTATTTTCTTGTTGTTTTCCCATCAAAACTCTCATTATTCTTATTGTAACCATTTTTTGCAGGAATTCCAGTTTACTGTAATTTGTTGTTCAATTGACTTATTTGGCCTATAATTACACAATTACACTCCTTACTTTCCTGGCCCCGTTCTTTCATGTTCATTTTTTATGACTGATTGTTGTAATAGGGTTTTTTCTTTTCCTATCCATTCATTCTAGTTGTTTAATTTTTGCCAGAATTGGTTCTTGTTATGTAATTTAGTATTGATTGCCTTGCACAATTAGGAGTTAAATTATGAATGGATGCTTATTGCTTTCAGATTCATGACCACAAGTGTGTGGATGCTTGGAAATTTTTTTCATTGTTAATATTTTAGTCTGGGTAATGATTTATGACATGAAATTTTGGATATATTTGCTTGTGCTGTTCTTGACTTCTTAAGCAGTTGCAGGCTTATATATTATGTATTGAAAGTATAGACAATTGCATAACCCAATTGTTACAATTTGAAATGCTATTCAATTAATTTCATGTTTTATGAGACATGCTCTTTACATTGCTCATGCTCACACCTTGGTTCTACGGACAATACCATGGCACCATACTGCACATTGTATTGTTCATAACTATGAAGAGAACAATCAATAAGTTTGCAATTTCACAGCCAAAAAATCACATTGGAATTAAACTGAAGATCCCTAAAGGGTTTACTCTTACCCGTCTTCCCCATGTTTTCAAGCATCTTTAAAATCAAGGGGTGACTGCTTGCAAAGAAACTTAATTCAATCACGGAAAGGATCTCACAAATACAGAGTAAAAGCAAAGGGATAAAGATGGATTACTTGTTCAGGAAGCTTGAAACGTCATCTACACCATCAATCCATTCAACATCAGGGCCGAACTTTACTTGGCCGTTTAAGTCCAGTGTAACATGCACTCCAAGGCCACCATCCTCAGGTATAGGATAAATCAAATGTTTGAAAGGTGGAATCTTGATGTTAGACAGGGTGAAGTAGCAACCACGAGCATAACATGATGCAGGAATAATTCCACTATCTACGCCCTTGAATCGCTTTGCAAGGGCTTGTGCACTCAAGCCTGCAGAGTTCACTACTAGATTAGGAATAAGTATAAGCTCGGGATGCAATGGAAACCTCCCATCCCAGTTTTCAAGATCCTTCCTTTCAGCAATATGAAGGCAAATATTATTATTTCCTTCAAGATGACCACCGACGACAGTAGTGTTGTAAGAGAAAGTTGTTCCATGACTTTCAGCTTCCCCCTAGATCCATATTGGGGTGATATCCCTGTCAATATGCATATATAGCTCTAAAATGGTAATATCAAAAGCATAAGATTAAGCTCTCAAAATATCTTTAAGCTCTCAAAAATAGATATTCTAAGTTCCCTAGCATCGCCAAGGGTAGTTATACTAAAATATGTATCTGATTAACTAAAAGAAAGCAAAAATGGAAGGCCATACCGCTAAAGAGAGCATTAGGGAATGGGTATCAATTATTCCAGAAGCAGGAGAGTATAAAGCTTTCCTACACTGTAATTCTGGTTCCATTCTCATGACTTCATGATCCTCCATCATCCTCAGATCATTAACCCCATTTTCAATCCCACGACTCATTAGAGCACTCAACTTTGGAATGTCTGAAGATCCAGTAGCAACTATGAGCTTACCAATCTTCTTATGTGGAATGTCATGCTCTTTGCAATACCTGTACAGCAATTCTCTACCTCTAACACACATAAGTGTCTGCAAATTGAATTAGAGTTAAAACTTCAACTACAAATCTTTCTAAGAAACAATGCAATAGGGCTTTGCATAGGAATGTGTGATAGGGTTTTCTCACAACATCTAGGCAAATAAATTGTTCAATTTACAGTTAATAAACCTTGAGAGAATTGCTTTTCAAATATGCAATAATCATCAATACTATCAGAGGTATAACAAAGATAAAATATAGAGATAGACCTTGAGAGAATTGCGCGGGTAATAGATGCCGGCGTGGATGACTTCGCTGTTGCGAGAACTGGTTCCGGTGCCGAAAGTGGAAGCAGAATCGATGACGAATACTTGTCTGCCCTTGAGAGCGAGCTCTCTGGCCACTGCTATTCCCACCACACCAGCCCCTATCACCACACAATCGACCCTCTCCTTCGGCAACTGAGCATTGCTGGTGGAGACGGTGGTAAAATTCTGAGTCTCAATTTTGTATCTGATTCGGGTAGTGATGGAATTTCTGGTCATCATCAGTGTTCGGAGAAACTTGGTTGTGGTGGATTTCATCGTCTCTCTTCCTTTCTAATGGGAATACTACAATACAACTGTAACCTCCATTAACTATTGAGTTGTGAGCGTGAGTGACCCTCCCTTCTCTTAAAAATGCACCTGATAACAATTAACAAGTAAAATGATTTCGGAGTATTATTTATCCTATGCTGTAATATAATTTGGGAGAAAGCAACATGTCAATTCAAATTAAAGAGTATTGGCCATATAAAATTTAGTGTTAATAATAGTAACATTTAATAGTCTAAATTTTTAAGTGATTTTCTGTGAACTGTATTCGGTCCTTGAGCTGTTGAGAGAGAGGGGTAATAATTTTGCCAACCTTTTTTTTTTTTTCTTTAATTAGTACTTACACACACATATTTTGGCCTAGATTTGAATCTCCCTGCAAAAAATAAAAGCCTAGTACCACTAAACCACTGACCTATTGGTAATTTTGTCAACTTGGATCACAAAGCAACCAACTATTCAAATAGTATCTCTTAATAATATCATATCTTAAGTACAAATTTTAATAATGTCATATCTCAAGTTCAACGTCAGAGTTAACGATAAACGTTGTATCTAAAAAGAAAAAAATCTATATCTGTCTCTTTATTTTTTAAATAATGGTGAATTTTGATGCTAATTTTTCTAAGATATCCATGTTAGGAGGAGGTGGGGTGATGTTTTGGGACTCTTCTAAATCCATTGTTTAGACGGTGATTTTTAAGCGTTTATTTGGTGTTGGCAACTGAGATATTTTGATGTAGAAATGCTATTTACTAGGCTCGAATGTTCAATTTTTCAGACCGGATGTTTTGAATCAGATGCTAGGTTGGTGGTGGATGCCTTGAAGGGAACGGACTCTTACTCTATTGAAATTTCCTCTATAATTTATGACGTAAAGATAATCGAATGATTCATGCTTTTGTAGAACTCTCAAAAGGTGAAGTGGAATTACATTTTATTCTTTTTTTAATTCCTCGTGTTGCTCTGCGGATGTTATGTCTCTTTTATTTCCTTTGTTGTTGTTGCAAAGGAATAAAAATAAAAAATAAAAATAAAAATAAATAATAACTTTTGAGTGACATTATTTTGTAACCATTAAAAAGAAAAAGGGGAGTAGAAGAGAGAGAATTCCGGTTCTTAAATTGTCCTACCTATGTTTTGTATTGAAAGCTCACTTTGGAACTATGGCAAGTCACAGTTTTTTCAAAGTGAACTTTTAATATGGGAAGAAAGGAATACAAAAATATTGTATATACTATTTTTGTACCAATTGTTTTTATATACTCCATATTATACAACAGTACATGTACTTACAGGGGTTCGGCTATGTGGAATAAGTAGATGGCTGAATAAAAATGTGGAACTTCATTCATTCGTACAAGGTTCTTTAAAGTTGGAAGTCCATATTTGAAAATCTTTGATTTTTAAATTCTTGCATTTATATTAAATAGGGATAATTTCACTTACCTTTCTTAAGGTTAAGTGTAATTACAGGCGATACTTTTTACGTTTCAAAATTTACAAAAACCTCGTCTCAATACTTTTTACGTTTCAAAATTTACAAAAACCTCCTCTCAATATGACCGGAGTTAAATTCCGGTGACATTCTTGTTAAATGACTAAGATACTCTTATTATATAAAATAAAAAATTATCAAAATGCAAAATGATAAAAGCTACCCCCAATTACAGAATTGAACAACCAAACTTCAGCACCGGCATCCTTGCTCACCGCCAGTCGGTCTCGTTATTGAGATTGTGCATCGCCACCGCCATTTCAGTTCACTTCGTCACCGGATTAGAGCGCCGCTTCACCGCCTAGCTCACTAGTTCACCGTCGGTATCTTGCGTCGCTAGGCTCGCTTTCTCTTTCTACAGCCCCTGTGATCACCGACAGCAGATCTGTCATCCATCGTCATCTACAAGAGTTTGTGCACGCCGTTCTGAGCTCGCCGTCCTTCACCGCCATTCCGAGCTGCTTACACACCATTCAGACCTCAAGCCGGTAAGCACCGATAAGAGCATCACCACCATTCAATTTAGACCCGGTCCTTGCTGTCACTGTCATCGGAATAACCACTGTGCTTATCGCAGCCGGAATCGCGACTCTTCCAAGTAGTTGTTCGTCGCCACACTCTGCCGCCACCGCGGCACTACCGTTCTTTCTCACCGTCGACTAAGCACGTCCTTGCTCGTCCGCCGTCGCCGGAATAGCGACTCTTGTTGTTCGTCGCCACACTGCCACCACCGCGTCACCGCCGTTCTTCTTGCTCGCCTTCAATTGAGCACATCCTTGCTCGTCCCCAGTGGGTTATTCATAGCTTGCTGCCGCCCGACGTTCCGTCTGCCCTTATGCGCCGTCCCGACTAGTCCCTTGTGCACCTCGGTTTGGGACATCATAACACACACACACACACACATATATCCTAAAGACCTCTTTAATGTCCTTCTCCGTCCATTCCTTGATTCAGATACCAGTCAAAATATGAAAAATTGGGGTTTTTTTTTTTTTTTTTTTTTTTTTTTTTTTTTTGGGTATATAGGTTATTTTAATACAAAAGTAAGGGCAAATATGGTATTACAGGATTAAAAATAACTGATGTCATCAAAAATCATTATTGACCGGCGTTAACTTTCACCTGAGGGGGCTAAGTGTTACAACGGAACAAACTTGGAGGGAGGATGGTGTAATATTTGAAACGTAAGGAATACTGCCTGTAATTACGCCTAATCTCAGAAAAGGTAAGTGAAATTATCCCTATTAAATATAAAAATTTCAAATTCAAGATTGGAAATCCAGATCCCAGCCACCAAACACAACCTTGAATACTTCCCCTAAGTCCATGGTTTTCACTGTTCACTGTGATGGAATGAGAAAATGGAGGACAGAATCCACTACCCACGGGCTTCCTAGGAGATGATTATCAGTGGTGGGACTGCCCTAAAGTGAAAGAAGGTGCCCTTAAAAGCTGAGGTACCCTGCCCCTATCCATGAGTCAAAAGATTGCAGGGGTGGTGGCCTGCCCTTTGAAAATGATGACCCATCTCAGCATCTCTTGAAGGTCTCAACCTTACTCCATCAACCGTTAAGAATAATGCTGCACCATATCCGAGATAGTAAATGTCCTTATTCTGCCCAACATCCCCAACGAATTAAACCAGAAATTTGTTAATTCAGACAACAAAGAATAAAACAAAAACAAAAACAAAAACCAAAACACAGATTATCAAATAGAAAACCAGAAAAGAACAAAGACAATGAATTAAAAGTAAGAAATTGGACTTTAGCATGCAAGGGTTTTAACATGTCATTCTGAGATGGAGCTGGAGCAATTGCAAAATTTAGATAGAATACATGTTTGCGTGTGTGTGTGTGTGTATATTTATATATTACTAATTTTTAAATGTACAAATAACTATAGTGATTATAAGGTAATTAATTATTATCATTATTTAGTGTTCCTATCTGCAGATTCTTCTACTTTCTTTCTTTTTTTCAAAAGAAAAAAAAAAAGTTTATTCCACCACTTGCCTCTTATATGATCTGATTTGCTATAGATAAATTTTTATTATGAGGAATTATTGCACATAATTGTTCTAGTAAATCCAACTGTCCATGTAATCAAATCACTTGAGACAAGCATTGGATGGAGTAAAGTTTAATTCGGAAAAGGGTGACTATTTAGTCAAAAGCTAGTAAAGCGATATTCGAGTGGAAATGACATTTTAACAAGATTAAGATGATTAGTTTGACGTTAATTTATAAATATAAAATTCAAACCAGCAGGAGCCATCCGTAAAGTTAAGAATCAAGCTAAAAGTGTGGAGGCTTAATGGAGATTTTGCACCTAATCACAAAGGTAGATATCACAGCTAAACAAGTCCCAATCTAATAATGGCAAATATTTGGATTAAAATATTATTTTAACAATTATAATAAATAAATAAAAACAAATACCTTTCATTTTTAACATTGAAAATAATCCAGGTGCCCAGTTGGTAGGTGCTTCTCCGTGGTGTTGGGAGCTTGGTTCACGATACTTTTACCATTCACATTAATATAATATAAAAGAGCAAAAAACACTTATGTATAATTCTTTATAAGTTCTAAAAAGTTTATAACATTAAATTTTGGAGAATACAAGGAAATAAATGTTGAAAAGATTAAAGTGTCTTTCTATAACCGAATAAAAATAACTAAAAAGTTAATTAAATATGAAATGATTAAATTATCCCTCTATTTTTTTCTTTTCTTTTGTTTCTTCTTTATCATCACTATCACCAATATTGAAACAGCAATGACTACTTATATGTCCGACGTCGGTTTAGTGTATAATACATATATATATATATATATATATATATATATATATATATAAAGGCATTATCGAAAAGATAATAACATTTTTGAAATTTTATATCATAAATTTCAAACCCTTATTTGCTCAATTTTCAAATTTAACGACTTATATATACAATATAAACCCTTTTTTGCTTATTTTTTTAAATTTAAAGAACTTATATACACAACATAAAAGATAAGTGTTATTTAACCAGAATTAAACATTAAGAGACTTTTTTCCACTTTACCCTATAAATTATTCAAGTTATGGGGGACAATTTTATCTTTTAAGTTATTCTTTGGAGTTTCACTAACATAAATTATCATCAAATAAAATTTTACAAAAAAAATAAACTTTTTATATCAATGGCCCAAAGTCACTCTCTTTAGATCATTTTGCCAAAAAAAAAAAGGTAGTATACAAATTTTGAAAACTAAAATGCGATATTGCCTTCCAAGATGAATTCACGGAGACCATATTTCTGAAAATTTTCAACCGTCTGATTACAATCAATCTACATATCTCGCGATCCTAAAAACCTAAAAAGGGTCATCTCAAATCTTGATAGAACTGCAATTCAAGGATTACAAATTTACAATGTAGTGAGTGGCTTTTGCTTTGCTTTTCCAAACAACCGGTTGCTTTTGCACACCCCTCTCTCTCTCTCTGCTCGCTCAATATATTACCGTTATCTCCTCACATTAGCGTATTTTCTCTTTCCTTTTCTTTTCTTTGACATTGTTCTCGAGAAAATTCTCTGGACAAGCAGTGTCACAGAAATGTTGAAGAGACAAGAAACTCTGCTGTCATCTTCATCTCACCGCGAAACGGTATCGGAAAATCAGCATGCAAAAGCCATCGGTTGCATGTCCGGCATTCTGCAGCTCGTCTCCAAATACCATCGTCGCCGTCGCAAATTCCTTACTTTTGGTCACTTTCTCTCTCTCTCCTTTTCATCGTCTTCCTCTCATAGTAACCCATATTAATATAATAACATAATTCTCCCAAATTTTATATTTCTTGTTTGGTTACTGAGAAATCGATTTGTTTTATTAAATAATGAAACGTCCGAGATATATAATTGGGGGCACTAAGCCTATGAACTAGTACAACTTCATTAATTAAAACCCAGTTAGTTTCCCTTTTTCTTTTTCAGAATTTAATTTTCTATCCCTTGTTTGGTTACTGAGAAATCGAATTATTGCAAAAGGTGATAAAGAGTCTCAGATAATTGTACACTGAACTTGTAATCCAGTAGTACAAGTATATCATCACCCAATTAACTAAAATGGATTATAGTAGAATGAAATATTTGAAACAGAAACTAAAATGGATTAAATTAGAATGAAATATTTGAAGATTTTTTATAATCAATCTTAAACAATTTTGTCAATAAAAGCCCATTTCCCAATTATCATTTTCAGGAAGAAAGCAGGAAAAAAATGCTGTGCCCGGTGCCTCAAAGGCTGTACCCCAACCTCAAGCTGCCCAAGTTTGTGATAAACGGCGATTCTCGTGTGATGTGCCGAGAAGCCCGACGATTCCGGCAGAGATCAGGAGGTCGAATTCGCCGCCAGCCGTGGTGGAGCGGGTGATGGGGTCGGAGAAAATTACTGCGGCGGAGGAGAGACGGAAGCTAATGGGAGCGTTAGAGAAATGCGACGAAGAACTGAAAGCGCTTAAGAAGATCATCGAATCCGTGCGATCGTCGGAGCATCTCAAATCACCGCCGGTGACGGTGAAGAAGTGTTTGGACTTCAACTGTGAGCAGCCAAGTCCGGTGTCGGTGCTCGACGAGTTCATTACTCGCTCCCCTTTGATCAGCGAACGCAAAAGACACTCTAATGGTTCGTATTCTCTTCTAATTGTTTCTTATAATACTTGTTATATATATTAATAACACGTATTATGTACGGTTTATATATATATATATATATAAAAATAAAAAATCTGTTTGTGTTATTATTGTTTTTATCTTTTCCACTTGAATTTGGACTTGTATGGTTTTACCGGATTTGGTATGAAATAAAGCAAGCCAATTTTTATTTCAAAGTTTTATAGTATGAAATAGTGAAGAAACAACCAAATATTTTTGGCTTCATTGTATTCTTATTCTAAGACAAGAATTTTAAAGATACTTAGAATTTTATTGTTTAATTACTTGAAATTTAATTAAGTAGTTCAACTTTTTTTTTTTTTCCATTTAATTATTTATTTTTTCTTGGTAGATTACTCCGACCCCTAGCTAGACCAGACCATAGGCTATATTGTACTCACTTTCATAAATTGTAGCAACTCTAGGTATGCATGTTATCATAAGAGAACAATCTCACAATAAATAAATAAATGAAAGTACTCTCTAGGTATGCAACTCTTAAGTGATTTTTCACATGAACAACAAATTTTACCTAACTTGTTATAATTGAGTATTTAAATTTTTTATTTTTTTATAATAAGTATAATTTGAGATTCTAATAAGTACATATCCTAGAAGAGGAGACACAACGTCTTCCACCAATTATGGCATCTTGAGAAAATTTACCATACCATCTCTCATAATGATCGACCATAACATTGGAGAACATAAATTTTACAGCTGTTACTATATAAACAATCAAAAAATTAAAATCCACTGTTTTGTTACATCTCTAGGCACACCACGGCCTTTATTTATTCGTTTATTTTCTCTAAAAAATTCCTAAAATAAAGCAAGCAAATGGTTCTTGGCCCATTGTGGGTAGTGGATCATTTGGGCCATTTGTTGATTGTACCAACATATTGTTCCCACTCTTTTAGCTTTTTCTTTAATGCAGTCAAAGATGATTCAAAAGTACTGAAAAGGAAAAAGATATATACACTATATATATATATATATATATATATTAAAGAGAAAGAAGAAACAGCTTTATGTCTTCATGACAGAGCTCCACTTGCTCATGTTTTGGCCCTCCTCACATTGTATAAGCATGTTGGTAAAGTTTGATCATGAAAGTAACTCTTTGGTGTTTAGTAGTAATGATAGCTAGAAACAGCAATAAGTAGGACACATGCTTAAGGTATGAGATTGAAATATTAGGACCAGTTTAGTACAATTTTATGATAAATTTTTTGAAAAAATGTGAAACAAAATACAACTAACCATATCCTTAGTTTATCACAAGAATATATATATATATATATATATATATTCCATATGATTTGCAAACATTAAAACGTGTATAGTACTTTTCCATCCTAATATGTTTTTGAGCAGACCTTTCACAATTGTAACATGTAGGAAGAGTGGCGCAGCAACATAAGCAGCAGTCGAGGAAGAAACCGGGAGAAGAGGACATTGTGAATGTGTGTTTCCTCAACAGAGTGGCGACAGAACCATTTGAGGCGAAGCACGAGCCTGTAGTAGCGACGCCATTATGGAGCAGCAGAGCAATGGTAGAGAGCGTAGAGCAAGTTTGCAGGGACATTGCATGGGGAGAGAAGAGGGAAGTTGGGAGAATAGGATTGGCATTACAGGATCACATATGCAGAGACTTGATCGAAGAGATTGTTAAGGAGTTAAAATGTTGTTGTGTCTATTCACTACCCCTTGAGGCATGTAAGAGAAGACTATCCTTCTAATATGTTTCTTATTGACATCATTTTCACCCATAAAACCAGGCCTCTATAATCTCCTGACTTTGTTTTGTTTTTATTTTTTATTTTTATTTTTTTTATTTTTTATTTTACAAATTCAGTGTGGATTGGTTTTCAATTTTCAAATGATTCTATTTTCTTATTGAGGATTTCAGATGATTTGGTTCTTAAATTTTTAAAAACCTTTTGGACTGAACCATACAATTATACAATGGAGACATAATGGAAGTTTGTGTACCAAACTATTAATTAATGGACACCTCTAATTCAACGCCTACAGTTTCTTTCAAGTGCATCAGACAATTATTAGTTTTTTATTTTATTTTATATGGGAGTAGTTTCAAGAGAATTTAAACTCTCCACCTCATCCATGCGGTAAAAATTTTATAACAAGATTATCTTTGAGAGTAGATTCAAAGTTGAATTAGAACATTAATAATTACTATTCTATAATTTTTGTCACAATGTGCAAGCACAATTGTTGGATCTTGTGAATCCCATAAAACGTTTATGTTACAAGTGGAATTTGTTTCATATCGAATCCTAATGAAAATTGTAATAGGTATAATAAATAGATTGAGTGTTAGTCCTAACTAATTACTTAAACTTTTGAGTCAGATCGTGAAACATGATACCAAAAATGGCTCGGGCTGGGTACATTCCATTTCACTAAAGGTTGGACCAGGAGAAGGCAGTTGCCCCGATCGAATGGCAGCCTATCAGGCCCAACATCCATTAAGACAATTTCCAAGCCCAATATCAAATCAAAGGAAGGAGGCCTGCATCCAAGAAAGAGCCCAAAGGATCGGCCCAACATAGAGGACAAAAGAAAAGCTTCTAGAATATTTGTAAAAGTCTATAAATAGAATGAAAAGATAGGAAAAGGGGGAAAGATAAATTTTTTTTTTGAAGTGTAAGGAATTGGTTTTATCGAATAGAGAGAACATTTTTCGTTGCATTTTAATTACATATATATATATATATATATATATATATATATAAATAAATAGATATAAAAAAATTATTTATTTATTTAAATTACTTTCATATATCGCTTGTATATATCACTTCTGTGCACAAAGATATATTTTTGTGCATGAACATGAGTCAAGTGCTAAACCCTCCACCAAAAATCCTCGAATTTTCAGAGAAATTCACCATGATTATGTAATTAGGTCAAGTCTCTGGAGACAAAATTGCAATTTTATTTTATTTTTCTTTTTGTATCTAATATTATATTATGAAATTATATGAAGAAAGAGAATGATGATGGGATTGTTTCTGCCTTTATCATCTCTCTAGGATATGGTAAAAAATGCCACAAATATCAAACTCACACTTCACATTCGCACGGCATATATGGACCCCGATCGAGCATGCCTTACCATGCCACATTTGCCCACCGATTTCAATTATGTGACCATACACACCCTACCAAGGTTCCAATTATGTGATCCGTTGGTGCTGAACCATACACACCCCACCAAGGTTCGTATGTTTCTTGCCTACTATTTTGATGTAGGACATGTTATCCTTTTTTTCGTTTTTTTTGGGTGTATTTCCATCAAATTGTTTTAACTCAATTAAATTATGAACCATGGATGCCCCTACCAAATATTTGGTGGTACGTCCTATAGAACCCTACAAGTCATAATTCGTAACGCATTCATGGCGACATAGTTTGCTTCAATCATCTATGCCACCAGGCCCACCACCATTGGGGTTAAGAGAAGACTGCAGAATAGAGGTGGTCTTTGTCTAGAAGGATGAGACATTAGTCATGCAAAGGAAGTCAGAATATACGATAACTTAACAAACTTATAAAATGGAGTGCTTGTGAGAAGTGCGTGAGTTATTTATATATACTCACTGAATTGAGATTGAGATTAAAATTTGTAAAAAAATTAAATGAATAATTTAATATAATCTGTTGGCCGGTTAAATGATTCTACTCCTTCGGTCCCAAATTAAGCGTCTTTGACAATTGTGACTCACATTCTTACTAAGAATTTCACATTATTTAGTTCTTAAATTTTTAAAAACCTTTTGATTGAACCATACAATTATACAATGGAGACATAATGGAAGTTTGTGTACTAAATTATTAATTAATGTACACGTCTAATTCAAAACATGCAGCTTCTTTCAAGTGCATTAGACAATTATTAATTTTTTTTTATTTTTATTTTTATTTTTTTTTTTTATATGAGAGTAGTTTAAAGAGAATTCAAACTCTCCACCTCATCCATGGAGTGAAAACTTTATCTCAAGGTTATCTTTGAGAGTAGATTCAAAGTTTAATTAGAACATTAATAATTGCTATTTTGTAAAAATAGACAGCCCACTTGGGTAAAAGAAAATTTTTTGTCCCAATATTATTAGATCATGTGAATCTTAAAGTAAGGTGAAACTTGTTTTACATCGAATTTTGATTAAAAATCTAATAGGTATGAATAAATTGGGTATTAGTCTTAGCTAATAATTTAAATTTGTGAGTGAAATCCTGAAACACCCAATATATATATTTTAAAATAAATAGATATAAAAAATTATTTATTTATTTAAATTACTTTCATGTATCACTTGTATATATCACTTCTGTGCACAAAGATATATTTTTGTGCATGAATATGAGTCAAGTGCTAAACCCTCCACCAAAAATCCTCGAATTTTCAGAGAAATTCACCATGATTATGTAATTAGGTCAAGTCTCTTGAGACAAAATTGCAATTTTATTTTATTTTTCTTTTTGTATCTAATATTATATTATGAAATTACATGTACAAAGAGAATGATGATGAGATTCGATAAAGCCGCCCTAGAAATAGTGCGGAGGTCAACGCCCACATCGCGTAAGAACCGCGTAACCGCGTAGACATGTGGAGAGACAGAAAGGACGACACCAATAAATATCTGCTTACTTAAAAAAAAATTAAAAATAGTAATAATATAAAACCATTACGCGTCTCTCCAATATTTAGTTGAGTAATATTCACATACTTCAAAACAAAACATAAAGCCTAAGTTGTCAATCCATCAGGATACTGCCACCTGTAACATATTCTACGTGGCATGATATGGAACGATTCTTTGTAAGAATTGTCACGGTGTGATCTGTCACTGTATATGTCTTATTCTGGCTTTTTATTCTATTTTTTTGGTTTATCTTTATGTGATTACCATTATGCCCCTCACGTACGCAAAAGCTATTTCAGCTCTCATTTGCCCATCTTCTTTTATTTTTGGAGAATATTTTACCTGTAAATGCAAAATGACTCAAGTATCCTGCCAATGTCAGTTGCTTTTTGGTCCCTTGGCTCCATAATAAAGATGATTTATCAATCGAAATTTGAACGTTAAAGAATTAGCAGAGAGGTGCACCTCTCCTTTGTCGTTTAGATTTTGATCTGCAAATCTTTACTCAATCATTTTATATATTTTATTATAACATTGATAAATAAACTATAACCAAAACTCTAGTGTTCTTTCTTTTCTTTTGCTTTTTTTTCATTTTTTCAAAAACTTCAATGGCAAATCCATAATTGTGCAAGTTTTCATGATACCTTTTGCAATATCCACACGCATATATAATTTGATATAGGTCATTCGAACAATATAAATAGCACTGATGAATAATTAGGAAATTTGTCGTTGCTTTCTACAAAATAAAATAAAAAAAACTTACTTCACGTAATCATACGCAAAATTAGCTTGACAATTTTCAGTAATGAATTTCACTCTTGTTTTAAAAGTCCTAAAAACCAACATTCATAGGGGGGAACTGAAATGAGAGGAGAAAAATGTCATTCACCACATTATGGGAGAGAAGTGCTATGGGCATAATAGTCATTTTGGATATAACATATTTAAGCAAACTGCGAAAATTACTACACCCTAAAAAATGAAGTTAAAGAGGTAAGGGCAATTTGGTAATCACAGATGCAATAAATTTGATAAACTGATCACGTCCGATGCTAATTTTATATGTAGCCTATATATAGCGATATAAATCACTACTTCTGTCGGAACCGAAGAAAGACAATTCTCTTTCTCTCTCTTAATTCTTTCTCTCTCTACAAAGTCGTGTATTATTACCCTCGTGTCTGGAAAAAAAAAAAGGGAAGGAGAAAAAAATGGCGGATCAGCTCACCGACGATCAGATCTCCGAGTTCAAGGAGGCCTTCAGCTTGTTTGACAAGGATGGAGACGGTTCGATTTCTCCTTCATAACTCCTTTTTTCATTCCTATTATATTTGTATTTATATATGTTTGTGTACATCTATTTATCTGCAATTATACAAGTTCATGTATGCGTATCTATGTTTGTACTCTGTAATGGATTGTTCATTTGAGACCTTTTATCAGATCCAGAAATCCCTTCAAGTTATTGCTTGGTTTGAGTTATTTGTGGTACTATTACTTGATTTGAGTGGTTTTTTTTAATTTTTTTTGGCGTTTTTGGTTTCTCGGTGTGTATATATGGCTATAATAATTTTATTTATATTTCTATATAAGAAAGCTCAAGTGTTTTGATGATGCAGATCAGGCTCCTGTTCTGTAATATAAGTTGTTTGCAATATTTTATATATATTTTTAACATAAGTAGTTAAATTATGTTGTCATCATTGTTTATTTATGAGCTAAAACAAGATTGTCTATTTGTATAGGATGAAAGTATTCTTGGGACAATGGGTATTTGTTTTCTAAAAGAGTAATTAAGATGTGAGGCCTTTTCCTCTAATTTTGCATGATATGGATGGGTTATTTTATTTTTGATTTTAGGTCTTTGTGTCATCTTTTGTTTTTTTACGGATTCAATGAGGGGAAAGAATGGAAAATGTAATGGAAATTCTTTTTACTTGTCTGTCAACCATGGATATTCATTTTACTTGACCGTGTGTCGTGGTTCTTACAGTGCAAGAATTGAAATAATATGCGCACTTAAAAGTTTCCAGTAAGATAAAGGATCCAAAATCAATGTAAAAAGGCATCATCGGGTAATTGTGGTGATGTTATCTATCAAGCTATTGTCTTGCTGGGAGATTATCCCGGTGGATTGTGTATTGCTTCTATTAAAATGCCTTAATGTCATCCCATTTTTTCACTGTTGCTTGAGAGTAGGTATGCAGTTAGCTATTAAGGAAAAGGAAAGTATATCTTTGCACCACACTTCATTTTTCCAGAATATTATCTGCTGAAACAATTGGATCCTACAATGAAGAATAATTGAGCTTTTTGTTGGAATTGGACTAACCATCATGTTTTTGTGAATTTGCGAACACTTGAATGTGTCTGACCTACTTTTGGCAGTCTTCCTATGAAATTATGTCATATTTGCTCATCAGGTTTGTTAATTTTTGAAGCTTTAAACGCTAATTGATTCTAAAGTTCAATTGGGCTTCTTATTGTCATCAAAATGTTATTTTTGGACGTCTTGGTTCTAATTTATGGATCCTCTCCCAAAATTTCTAATGTATGGACTCTTATTGCTACAAAGTTGGATATTTTTGGGGTGTGAATTTTTAATTTTATTTTTTATCATTTATTTTGTTTTTTAATCACTTTTGTCTTTAGGATCCTATTGAACCCAAGATAACCTAAGATTTGCAGCTTCATATGTTGTGATGTATAATTTAATTGTGATATGTGCAATTGTAAGTTCTATGTTTGGGCATGTGTATTTATGTGCGTATCATCTTACAATTACTATATATTTCTGTAATGTGGTTTTAGTCTTTCACGAGCATTCTTCTTATATGCTTATATTCTATTATTGTTATAAAAAACTGTTTTTAATCACCAGCATAGTTTCTTTAAGTTTCATGCTCTCAATTTTACTGCTTTAAGATTACTTGTGGGCCAATTGTGATTTACAAGGCATTAGGATAATCTGAATTCGAAATACATACATTGCACTTTCACAAGGCCAATTAAGTTAGATAAAATATAATCATTAATCATTCATGGTAGTGGCAATATGGGCTAGACCTGGGATTTACTATTTGTATTAGACTGTTTGAAATTAAATTTATTTGATACCTATAATTCATTGTTTTATGTGTTAATCGTTATGGCTTATTTTTATGTTGTGGGGGGGAAACCTCAAATTTACGAGGAGGAAAAATATTGTTGCTTGAATGAATAAACTTCTGTTGGATGACAGTCATTGTTTGGTTTAGTGGTAGAACAATTGAGTATCAGTGTCACATTCAAGAGTTTGAGCCTCATAATAGCCACCTTGTGAAACATCAAAGGTTAGGTTTGTCCCGAGTCCTCCCTCCCCCGGACCCTAATGTTGTAGGGACCAGTACTTGGTAATGTCCCCTTTTTATTTAGTTGGATAATTATGTTTTAGTAATTGATTTGATACAAATATGTAGTAGTGCGACCATTGTCTTGATGCAGTAAATCATTTTCAAAAGTTATGTGGTCGAGCATTGTTTTATTGAATAAATTCTCCTTCAAAGTATAATCAAAATTTTGAAACTAAGGCATTAAATTTTTCAAGGGGTACAATATCATTGCTTGAAGGTATTGATTTTTCAAAATAATTTATGCAGTTTGCATAATTATTTTTGAAACAAATGTGCAGTGGTAACATTTGTTTGTATTAGGAAATTAATATTTAAAAGATTATGTTATCGGGCATTGTTTTGATGAACTGTTTTCCAAAACATATAAACAGGTTGTATTACTACCAAGGAGCTTGGGACTGTCATGAGATCATTGGGGCAGAATCCAACTGAGGCTGAGCTCCAGGACATGATAAATGAAGTGGATGCTGATGGTAATGGAACAATCGACTTTCCTGAGTTTCTAAATCTCATGGCCAGGAAGATGAAGGATACTGACTCTGAAGAGGAGCTGAAAGAGGCATTCAGAGTTTTTGACAAGGATCAGAATGGATTCATTTCTGCTGCTGAGTTGCGCCACGTGATGACAAACCTGGGGGAGAAGCTTACTGATGAGGAAGTGGATGAGATGATACGGGAGGCTGATGTTGATGGCGATGGGCAGATCAACTACGAGGAGTTTGTTAAGGTGATGATGGCCAAGTGATGACCCCATCCTGACCAAAATGAAAATGAGGATGAACAAGGTTAACTAGTATAAAGGATTTCCTAGTTTATTCATCTGATGGTCTTGTAATCAAACCTTCCAAAGGGATGTAATACTGTGTTATGTTGGTTGTGGTGGAATTTTCTTACCCTGTTGTGACATGTCTTTTCACTTGTGTATTGGTGGTTTTAATTTTTTTCTAGTTTCTTGTGAGCCTGATCTACCTGGGAGATTATAATGTTTCTCTGTTAGTGTTGATGGATGACACATTTTATTACTCTACTCTCTACCTTATCTTTTTTTCCTTCTATTTTGTTACTTTGGACAAGAAATTTAAGTTTTATTTAGGCTTGTAATCAAGGTGGACTTCAGGAAAGGATATGATATTATTGCATGGGGTCTCATTGTCATCTTTACTGGTCGCATGCAGACCACCAATGCAGCCCCGTATAAACTTCTGTTGTATAAACTGCTGCTGTTGTTTATTTTCACTTCTCTCAAGCATTAGACAGTCTACATCACCCTCCTTATCAACGTTACTGATATTTGTATCTTGATAGATGTAATCGGATCAAGGGAATTTCTGATACCATTGGAGATGTGCCGCAGAGATTTATGTTCTGCATTTGACTTAATTGTATATAAAAAGTTGCATATATTTGTCTACCGTAGAGGAGGAAACATCAACTGAGATTCAAAGTTGTTCTCTGCTCTCTACCAGATCAGGTGGGTGGGTGGGTGGGTTAAATGAATGACACAAGTATGGCTACATAAGAATGTGTCCTAGTAATTGAGCAACGAGAGTTTCATCTTTTTTAGTTTTGCCAACTCTGTTTCTGGCATGAGCAGGGTCGAAACCCTGCTTTATATTCTTCCTATAGTAAATAGCCAGTGGCTCCTCCTGCACTAATGTGAGTGAACAACTTCTTTGCCCTCGAAGAAGGATTTTAAGACCCTAGTCTTTATGATTCATTAAGGTTATGTTCTTGGATGATAGATTTAAGCAAGGAAAATAAAATGCAAATAAAAATTATTATTCCTTCTTGGTTGCCGTGAAAAATACGAAGTAGAGTAAAATAAGAAAAGACAGTTTTATATTTTTAGATGGCCTTTTCTTTTTCCAAATTTTAAAACATTTAAAGAGCAGTTTAACGACACGAATTTTTTTTTTTTTTCCATCAGATGACAAATGAAAATCTAAAGCTGGAATTCCATATGAATACGGATTGTTCAAGAAGTCCCAGAATTGAAGGTATTGAATAAAAGAAGCAACAAAGAGAGAGAGAGAGAGAGACCAAAACAAATAAAACTAACCAATCACCTCCCCATTTGATATAATTCAAATACAGTACATGCCATCCCGAGTTCATCAAATCAATTACCTTTTATGCCACCATCCATCCTTCAGATAAACAGCAAAAGTTGGCCACACTCCACATCTCAATCATTTTCCCCAATAATATTATAATCTCTTCAAACTTTTCTTTCTTGCATCCATCTTCTTTTTGTCTGCCTGGACTTTTGCCAACCCACCACCTTCCTTCTTCTGTGTCAATGGTATTGCCGCTGACCCACTAATTCCTGTTTCGGTTGTTGAATTTAAGGCAGTTGGAAGGTCCTGCCCGCTTCCTCCTTTGGTAGCTGTCGTGCAAGGGGCCAATGGGGATTGCAGGAGTGGTGCAGCACCGGATACTGCATTATTTTTCTGATCAACATTAAGAACTGATGTGTTTGTTTGGTCAATGTTTAAAGCGGTTGACTCGGAAATAGCTCCTGTTTTAAACTTCGGTTTTGGCTTCAGAGCATGAATTCCAGTGTAAAGCCTGTTTTTAAGCCACAGAAACACCCTTAAGTTATAAATGCAATATTTCACACTTTGAAAGGAATCACATACATCTGCATTCTATTTTATTATAGTGAAAACACACGTACACATATATGACGTACATCCAGACAAAATAACTTTCCTTCAAACCCAAAAAACTTTTGACACGTGTTAACAGCTATATCTGGAAACTACAACAGAGACAAACAAAAGTTCTAGTAGTAATACTTTCATCATGCTTAGTTTGACGAGGGATCTCTCTTAAAGGTTGGGTTGTAAATGTCCAAGAAAGGGAACAACTGCTATGAGGGCATGAGCTCCGTGAGAGTGCCCTCATATTAGATTTGCATTCCAAGAAATTTCATTTAGTTAATATTGCAAAACTATACTTCAGACACGCATAGGAAGCATGGAAATATGAGAAACAACCCTAGTGTCAATAGGTGCTGATATAAGGGCGGGTGTTTGCCTCCAGCTACTTATGTCGTCCAAATAGGTGCTGATATAAGGGCATACTACTATTGGCTCTTTCTAAGTATCAAAACAAACCAGGATGCCATCTTGTCGCAATAATGGCTGATATAATTCAGAAGGAAAGTCTGCTTTTCTATGCCAAATCATTGCCATCGTTTGCCTTGATCAACTACAGAAATTCTCTTTTTCCACTCTTTCTATTAAAAGGTATGCGTTCATGTTAAATTAAATAAAAAAATTCAAAGGTATGTTCGCCTATAAAATTAATTTCTTAAGGTCTTTCCCTATTACTTCATCAATGTTAGTTTGGGAGTAATCAACTGTTACTTCAGCTATGTTCTCAGCAAAATGATACTCCAGAACTGAAATAAACAAAAAAGAAGATCGTGGATCACCTGGCGTGCCTGGCATACTCCTCATAATTTTCAAGCAACATCTTGCCAGCCTGCTCATTCAAAGCTGATTCTGGGAATGGTTCAATTAGTAAACACCTGACTACCTGTAATCAGTACTTGCAGTCAATAATTGTATCATTATGAAAACCAAATGTAAAATGCAATACAGGATAGGATATGTAGATTCGACGAAACTTACAATCAGAATGTGCCGTAATCCAAGACTTGGGTTCCAATCTTTTTTCAGTGTGTTGACACAAATCTCACCATTGGATGCAATATTTGGATGGAAAATCTTGGTCAGAAAGTAACCTAAATTGAATAATATCAGCAGGTTCACAATTGTCAAAATAAACATATAGTCCATGGATAATGAATAAGCCATTCAAAGGCAATTTAAAAGTAAATTTCGCAGGCCAAACAAATGCAGCCTTAGCACCGCACTTACCACTTAATCAGATGATCTCATTCCTAGGACTTCCTAATACACTTTTTAAAGTGAAATCTTAAGATACAAGCCCAACAACAACAAAAAAAAAATGGCTATAATACATAATTTGCTCTCACACATTGTACGAAGGAAAAAAAAAAAAAAAAATACAGGTTTTTATTTTAAAAAGATAGCCACATCATTACAGGAAATATTCTGGAAACAAGAGCAGCAGGGCAACCAAATATCAACCTAGTTGAGCAGTGAAGTGTAAAAATAGAAGTGTGTGGGTAAAAGAAAGAAAAAAGAATATACCAAAATATGAAGACGGATGGGTATATAATAAATGGCTCTACATGTTTGCTCTCCAAAACTATAAACTAATCACAGGTTATAAACACAGGAAACAGTCCCCCCAGCATTGGTGGAAATAAAATAGTTCTATACCTTTGCAAGGTCATATCACAAATGGAACCCACTAGGCATAGAAGATACATTTTCCCTCAAGTTACTCTTCAAAATTTTAAACTAATTACTGGTTGTAACACAGAAAAAAATTAACAGCCTTGGTGAAAATAGAATGATTCTATAATTATGTGAACCGACAAACCTTTTGGAGGGGAATGAGGGAAGTCATGAGACAGTATCAACTTCATGCGGAAAATGCCATTCTCATACGGAGTCCCGGCTGCACGGTCAAAGATCTTCTTTCAGTATGAGAAACAATATCTTTAAGGATGGAAAACATAAAAATAAAATAAAATAAAGCAACGTGCCTGGGCCTTCAATATCAGCATATATAATTGAAAAATCATCATCATTGACGCCTACTTTAATGCCCTCAGGAGGGGTTTCATCAAGATTCTTCAATTCCTTGGCAAGTTGTTTTATTACATTTGGTGGAAGGTTTTCATTGGTTGCCTGCCACAATAATGCAAAACCAAAAAGAATCTGTAAGAACATTCTTTCACCTACATGACTAATATAAACAGCGAAATTCGGCATAGCTATTGCATGTTTACAAGTTTATTTTTTATTTTTTTTCCCCTGAATGTTACATGTTTACAACTTACAAGCTAAAACTATAACATATCTCATTCACATATATTTTACCAAACCAACACATATTCGTGCCTGTCCAACTCGAAAAGTTTTTCAAATCAACCTCCAAGGCCTTTGTACTCAGCAAACAAAAATAGAATTATTTGAAAATCAATATATAAGTTTCACATTCTGATACATTTTCTGTGGTTAAGCTTTTATGCATTAATACGTATAATTAATCACAATTTCAACCACTTTAAAAACCTATACATGCAAGGGCTTGTTATTTCCAATTATTATAGAGCATAAGTGAATTTTCACCATCTTAAGAATGAGTATGGTGTAATAAAAATACAGAAATTTACCATAGCCACAAAAATAAAGATTGAATCCTCGGTGAATTTCTCTATGACTTTGCTGATAAGAAATCAGAAAGCAAACGATATGCCAACAATATCTCCAATTGTATCTGGTGTGATTGAGCAACTGAGAGGAAATCCTGCAAATTGATAAATGCTCTATAAAAATCAAGAACAAATTCAGCCACTGGGGGGTTGTTCCCAACTATGCCAAACAACAGGTGAGAATAATATATAAGCTCTCAACCCCTCACCATAAACACCAGAGAAATGAAAGCAACCAGTGCAAGCAATTCATTACACGTAATGTTACTGAGATGAGACAAGTTAAAGACCCAAGTAAGGAATATCAATGCTCCTAAATGCAGCAGGTTTAGACCACCATAAACACCTATTCTGAGGATAACAGGCCCCATTTTACTTCACCAAACGTGGAATTGTTGGGGGGGGGGGGGGGGGGGGGGGGGGGGGGGGTTGGTTGGAGAAGGGAGGATGGGGCTGTGAGCCTAATCATCCAAGGTTTTCTATCAGCATAGATTGCAAGTATGCTATACAAGTCGAAAGTCACCCTCTTGTGGCGAAAGGAAGTACATGAAGGATTTCAAGGGTACAAAGCTATTTTTAGGATGGAATCAAATCTATGTAAAAGCAATCATATACTAGTGAGAACCCTATAAGAATTTAACTCTCCTAGGTAAGCCCATCAAACTCTAAGTTTGGAGGTAGCCACAGCTCAATTACAAGATCATTAAATCCATGAAACTCAAAATTACACAGTTATCTTCTAATATCAGAATCTGGTAGGTAGTCCTCCCCCTGAAAAAAACATCATCAGAAGCAGGCAGTTCAAAAACAAAGAGAGGACCCAAGAAGCAAAATAGTCGACCCATGATTCATTTGTCAAAACCCTAAAAGACAATAACTTGAACATGCGCATCCTCAAGTATCCACAAAATCACATCAAAACCAGCATTTGAAGAACTACATGATCTTATTTGTGTCCAACCCATTAAAAGGCAACACGAACAAAGATGACATACGTGCACCTTCATCGAATAAAGACCTTGAGTGAAAGAGAGTCAAATCTCGGTTTGTGGAGAAACCCTAATATTTCAAACCAAGATAGAAAGAAAAAAAAAACAAATAACCCATCTAATCAGAGGGAATTGTGCGTACACCAAATGAAAGCACCTCACACACACACACACACACACAAACATAAAAGAATAAGAAAAAGAGAGAACCTTTATCGGATCAAGAGTCAATTTAAAGGAAACATTGATGCATAATGGGAGACCCAATACGAATCTCCATTTCAATTTCATCAAGAAAACATAAATCGTCACAATACAGATACATATATACCAGAAGAAGAAACAATGTCTAACCACACAAGTGAAGAATCAACTAACTCCGAAGAAAGAGGCACGAAAGTATCACAAAACCCACAAACTAGAATCATTCAATCGCAACTTGAATTGAAATTAAAAAGCAAATTGCATCAACAGTTGTTTGAGAGATCAAGACAGAAACTTGAATAAAAACGAAAACCTAGATGAGAAATCACCTTGAATAGAGAGAGAGAGAGAGAGAGAGAGAGAGAGAGGCGCGTAATCGGAATGTTTACTTCTGTATTTGGGGTATTAGCAAAATAGCAGAAATAGGGAAAGCGATCTCTCTCTAAATGATTGATGGATTGATTTTGGAGACCAAACAGAAAAGAACAAGAGAGAGTGAAAATTACTATATAATATAATAGAAGTAAACATACAACATAGACAGTGATATATAATAGTATATATATAATTGAACAATAGAATAATTTAAGGCCAAATAGCATAAAACCCTGCACTACTATATTTTTCATTCGGTAACCATTAAAATAATTTTCTCACCAACAAAACCCTTGATTTATTCAAATTTCTCTAAATTTCCTTTTACTTCTAAAAAAAATAACAAATATAAATCATGTTAAGGAACATAATGATTTTGAAGTTAAACCCTGTTGCACAACAAAGTCAAGTTATCGTCCTACTCAACCAATGTCATTGAAGCACAATTTAGGATTAAATTTAACTGTTGGATTTGGGTTCTAAAAATCACTCAATCCGTCTTAAAATAATTGTCCATCTTTTCTTTTTGAAATATTCCAAAAAAACATGTCTCATTCCAAATTGAATGTACTATTTTTTATAACATTTTAAAACTATCATTTTAACTAAACAACTGCACTAATTACGGAACACTATTTTGTATTTTAGTAAGAGGGCATATTTGAAACTTTACTATTATCAATATAATAAAAAAATTATAAAAACTCCACTATCATAAAAAGGTAGATTCCCCACTACATATATATAACTTTACTATTATCAATATAATAAAAAAATTATAAAAACTCCACTATCATAAATTGGAATGGGCTTGGGTTTTTAACAGGTATGTATATGGAATTATAGGCCTTTAATAGAAAGCGTTAGAAATGGTTAGAAATATTTGAAAAACTCGAGTAAAATAAAGCTTTTAGGAGGTCTCTCTAATGAAAAGAGTAACGAGCTCTTTTATGTTTTAACTATTAGATGAAACAATTTTTTGAAATGTGTGAAAAGTCAAATCATTTATTTAATACATTAAAATTAAAAAAATGAAAGAATTTATGACTCTTTCCATTAGAGAAACCCCCTAGGAGGCATTACTCATAATTTAATAGGGCTTTGGACTTATAAGGGATGAAGCTAATAACTGAAACATAAAAAGGAAATCGAAATAAAATTTTAAAAATCTAATGTTAATAAACAATAGAATTCTATGTAACTATTGTTAGGTATATAACAAACATTAATAATGTAATTAATTCGAAAAAGATAAAATTATGCATAGAAAGAGTCCTATTTTTTTTCACACTTTCAATTCGTTGTCGTCTTTCAAAATCGGACATGGATGGTTGAGCCTCTTTATAAGGGAGGGACAATTGGGAGGGTGAGTTCAGTTTTTTATACTGAGAAAAAGAAAAAATATACACACAAAAAAAATAATAATAATAAATAAATAAATAAAACCACCACCACCTTATATATTGTGACTTTATCATTTTACCGTCTAAGCATTTTAATTGGGATTGAAATCTGATTTTTGGACACGGCCAATTATTAGGGTGGGTCATACACCATCCATCAATGTCTGATTGTTCTCTAAAGACAGATCATGAGGAGCTCAATAATTGGATTTAAAACTTTAAAATATTATATAAATTACACATAGGATATTCTTTTTCTCTTTAAAATTTTGAATTATTGCTCCACGGACTATGTTATATACAGTAGGCGCGCGCACACACACACAAAAAAATAATAATAATAAAATAAATAGATGTTGAAAAAAGGGAGAAATAAAAAGATTAAATAATGATGAGGGTAAAACTGTAATAATCAGTAGTTGAGTCATGCATGACTTCAATGTGTTATCGTAAAGTTAGGTGGGGGCAGCAACTTGTCGGTTTGTGGGCCACAAATTCGAAAATTGTGTTGATAGGTGACCGTTGGAGTCTTGGAGGGATGTCTTTGCAAACTAGCCGTTAGCAGGCACAATTTCAAATTTGTATCACTACGTTTTAGGTGGTTCTCAATCAAGAACACGTAATTTGAAATCTATTTTATTAAATCTGAATTTTATTTTGAGTTTAAATACAAAAATAAGTTGTTAATAATTTATTTACAAAATTGGGCTAGAACTAATATTGCATTTAGATACAAATATTATGTGGATTCGAGAACCAATTTAACATGAATTTTACTTTAACAAATTCTAATGTATTTGGATTATCATTGATCATGTTTATGAAGATCGTTTTAAATCAGTTCAATTTTCAAATCCTGTATGCATTAGTTGAGCATACCAGTCTCTAATTGAACAATATATATATATTTTTTAATTTATTTGAAGAGTTTGGGTTTTAAAAGTCAACCTCGGGTCATATCACTTTCTTCTCATACATCTTACCCAAAAAAAGGACACCAAATTTCAAGTTATGATTTGCTTGGATTTCATAAAGTCTGAAGCATTAATTTAGTGCAATCAAGTTTAAGTTGAACAAAGTATGAAAAACTTTGTACATTTGAAATTTTATTTTTTATTTTATTACCGCAGAGGCATAAAAGGCAACCATCAACAAATAAAAAGTCAAATAAAAAACAGACATACAAATCTTAAAATTAAGTAAAAAAAATTAAGAACATGTTTCAAATTTGTGGAGAACGAGAGCCAAAGCTCTGTAACGGAAACCACTAAGAAAAAATTGCACCAACAGGAATGACCCAAAGATCTGGTAATCATTAAAGCAACAATTCCAAAATTACATTCATAAGGCACTCCGACAGGGGGAAGACCACCCAAAACCTCGTACAAGATCAAATCAAAGAGAAAAAAATCAGATCAAATCGGAAATAACCAAAACCAACATAGATAGGAGATCTAGCGGAAGATAAAATAACAGATCCACATATGCGAGCCGAAAACGAGCCAAACATGAGCAGATCTAACCGAATAAAAACAAAAACGGCATAAAAAAACACCTGCGGATCGAGCGCACTTATTAAAACACGCCGAATTTATTACAGCCGTGGTAAGTAGAGCATCACCTCCCCACTTCCATGGAAGGATGCAGGGAGAAAAAACGGAGGGGAGGAGAGGGTTTGGCGCAAAAAAGAGAAAGCTGAGAGAGAGAGAGAATTATTTTAGTGTTGCCTAATCCATGCAAGAGTCTTTGATTTTGATTTTTTTTTTTTTTTTTTTTTTTTTTTTTTTTTTTTGTATATTTGAATAAATGGCCACCATTTGATCTTAAATTGAATCTTGAACGAAATCATAGTATCAACAATCTCAATCTTGATAATGGGAAATTCTAATCACGTTTTGAGTTCAACTAAAAGTTTCAAATCAAATTGCAATATCTGATCTTAAGAGTGACCATTCTTTGATCTTTAAGTGTGACCATGTGTAACGAGTTAAGGTTTTGGAACCCACATCAGTCCTCATTTTTCTTGGTTCATCATTGATTTTCACTGAACTTCTCAATTGTTACATCTATAAATACTTCTTATTTATACAAATTGCCTTAATTTCTCTCTCTCTCCCCCTCTCTAAACACACGCACATGCACACGCACATATATATATATATATATATGTATGCATGTATGTTTCGAACCTTTTTTTTTTCTTTTTTTTTGTTTTTTAGGTAAAATATGTTTCGAACTTGATAAGCCATGATCTTACCCAATCCAGCTATGCCATTTGTCAAAAAATTGAATGGGGCCATCTGGTAGCACTACAAGGCCTCAAAAGGGAGAAATTATTAGATAGTTCTGGACCAATTAAATGTTAATGGTTCAAAACCATCTAATAATTTCTCTCAAAAGGGTGAAAACATAATCTAAAATTACATTTGATCTCATGAAAACTAAATAATTACCTCAAAAGCACATTATCTACTGATTAATCGAGATAACATTCACCATACAGTGCCATAATTCAAAGTAGTTAGAACCATTGCATATGCGTGAACAAGAATATATATTATTGATGGGTATTGTAACCGAGGTTTCGTTTGAACTTGAATGAATGATTTATGTGTAACTATTATTCAAGAAATATAGTTTACATTTAAGTAAGGCATGGATTCATTTGAATAAGTTATATGTGGAATTCAAATTTAATTTACAAGAAGTTAATTGAAATCAATGTTGGTAATTATTCTAATTGTACGTATAATCTCTCATACAATTAATCTAATAGTCATCGCATTTCTATTTAATTAGTGCATGGATCAATTATTAAAGATTATATATTTGTGGATTTCAAAAAAGTTTGGGGTAAGTGCAAGAAACACTCGTGAAGTATACTTTTCATAGCATTTTTACCTCTTATTTAAAAAGGCGTGCAAAAAACACCCATATTCTTTTCAATTTGTGTAAAAACACCCCTCAATTAATATAATGTCCATTTTACCCTTTTATTTTTTCAAAAATGCCCATAGCAAACATTACTCTCCACCCCAAAACCGCAACCACCGGGCAAATCGAGTTCGTGAGATTGAAGCCTTCTTCATTGCCGGTGGGTGACCCAAGTTCTTCAGCGGCCTCTGTGCGTCTTGGACGCCGCCGTCCATTCCCCTTCCTCGTTGCCAGAAGAAATTGTAAAAGATGTTAAAGGAGTCGAAATGGTAGTAAGTTTCTTCCCCTGTAATGCATCACTACGAATTTAAGGAGGAAACAAGAAAGCTTACCGTTTTCATACCCTCAATTTGAGAACTGGGTTTACAAGGACTCATCAACCTTGTGTTTTTACACTACATGATTTGAGTGAAAGTGACCTCCATATCATCTAAAGGATCAAAGTTCCAATTAGCTGTTGGGTTACGGTTCATTGGAATTTGATCCTTTAGATGATATGGAGGTCACTTTTACTCAAATCATGTAGTGTAAAAACACAAGTTTGATGAGTATATATAAATTATAATGGTGTATTATAACCAATTCAACTTCTCCATTAAAGCTTAAATTTTTTATTTTTATTTTATTTTATTTATTTTTTTAATTTTTTTTTTCTATTGCGATGAATCTGATGATCGATTAAATGGGCTATACCAGTCCAATCAAATACTTAAAAACTTAAATTTTTTGAAGTCTTTCTAATAATATGTACTGGGTTTGTTTAAAACAAGATAAGTTGCAGAGTTTTT